TTGCCGCCCCTTTCGGATTCGGATTCGGATTGGGATTGCGGCATGTTGCGGCACTCTTGGCCGCTTTTCCGCTTTGGCCATTTTCCATTTGCATATTGGCCATCGCCCGTTTCATGTCTTTTGACAATTTGCCGCATTGTTTGTTGTTAATTGTTATAAATTTTAAATCACTGACAACAATTGCAGGCGGTTGGTTTTTGCTGTTGACGATGATTGTTATTATGGCGGCGCTGTTGTTTTTGCGGTTTGTTGTTGCTGAATTTATGAGATATATTTTCAGAGTTGCCAAGCACTTATAGCCATAAATAGTCCGGCACAAAATTAATCCGCATAATTATACTGGCTTCACATGGGTTTACTATTCATCCCCCCTGTTCTCCCCAATATTTATTCGGAAACATTTTAAGAGCGCTCACTAACTTTGCATTTGGCGCTGTTTAGCCGTTTTGCTGTTTTTGTTAGCCCGCCAGTGTTAATTGAAATTAAATGTTCATTTACCGAAATTTTAATGACAATTGGAGGTCGGGGAAAGGGAAAGGGCACTTGGGGAAACGATAATGGGCAAAAAACGTTGCTGGCAAATCTAAAACATTTTTACCAGTTACCGGTTGGCCCGGAGTGCCTGGCTGGCTGTCCTCTGCGATATTATATGTTTGTAATTTAATTTACGCAGAATTCTTTTTGCTATTTGCCAAGAGCGAAATGTATCCGATACCGGGGTGGGGAAACCGGGCTGGGTGCTCAAACAAATTTCATTTGGCATCAAAAAACGGAAAATCAACTTAGGCGACATATTGAGAAATCATTTTGCTATCAATCGTGGTGGGGCGAAGTGAGAAAATCCAAGTGAAGGGGGGGGCCAGAGGCAACAGAAGTTGCCGCACACGTACGCAAATAAAAGGATGTGAGGCGAATTAAAATCGGTGGCACACAGAAGCTAAACCAACACGTACACAAAGAAAAAAGATGGGGTTTCTTTACTCGATATATTTAATTTTATCTCCTGTTGCCAGATATATTGTTTGTTATTTTAAAAATATACTTCTCTCGAAACAGTCAATTGAAAGCCAATCTGTAAGACAAATGAAACAAGAATAAAATGGGGTGGAGATCATGTGATTAAGTACTCTTGCCAGCTACACTTTTTTGGCAAGTGCACGGTGTACGTATACAAGATACAGCTAAAGATACGGATCCAAGATACTCGTACAGATGCGAAGATACATATGCTGCGGCGTATCTGCGAGATGCGAGATGCGAGATGCGCCGTGCTCGATGCTCAACACTTCACGCAAGATACTTAAGTTCATTTGCGCCACTTTGCGTCTGCCCGTGCATTTTAAATGCGTTCGTGTTTCGACTTTTGGTTTTTGGTCTCCGGCTTTGTTTCTCAAATAGCGGAGATACAAATGCGGCCCCGTCGAACGGATCTCTGTGCCACTTGGCTCTGCCTTTCATTTGGATTTTTACTTTACTCTACTTCCATTCCATTTCATTTAGTTTAATTTACCATGTTATCTCTCTGTTCCCCCCCAACAAACCCAACAAACAAAACACACCACCGCGATAGCTACATAAACAGTGTAGTGTTTGGGGTTCGTTGAATACCCCGATTTGCATTTATTGCCAATGACGATGGTTACTCATCTGGGGACCTGACTCTGCGCACCTGGCATCTATGGCACCTATAAATAGCATGCTAATGAGCCCCTTTTAAGTTTGACTTCATCTCGCATGCATAAATCAATCAGCGGCCGGCGAATCTCTATCTATCCAAGCAAGTTATGATTGTAGCTGGAATGTGACAGCATTTATAGATATTACGTGTGCCCGCCAAGGTTTCCGCTACTCCAGGAGTGCTTTGTCATGAATCTTGATGCTTCCCCGCCAGATATGACCTCACTCGCCACCAAGCCGCGCGACTATTAACGTTTAATTTGTTTTCGGAGTCGGTGGGTTATTTTTAGTGAGCCCCATAAGCACTTTAGTTCTTTTGAGTTATGGTTGCGGATTTTTCTAATACTTAAATCTTAGTTTATTCTGTATTGCTGCTTATCGTTATGGGTAATGGGTATCCTTGGAGGCGCTTCTCTCCCCTCCAATTCCGAGATGTGAAGTTCTTAAAATTCTGCTGCTCGTACAGTTTGCTATCGAGAAAATAATCTGGGATTTTAGTAAGAAATTAATAGATTTATCTTCAAGCTCGTGGCAATAAATAATTTAATAATAGTTGTAAAAGTTGTCACCCACAAATACGTTTCAGAGAGTGTAATCATTTTCTGAACATCTTTTCTAGCTCTAGCTTGACGGTCATTAAATGATTAAAACGATCTTTTCGCATCTCGACATAACTTAAAATATCTGTGAGTTTTCTTGAATTAAAACTATCTTTTCGCATCTCAACATAACTTAAGATATCCGTGAGTTTTCTTGAATTTCTGTGGATAAATCGGTTCGGTGCCAGAGATACACACTCCAGCTTTGTCAGATTTCTCTATGTTTTACTTTGGATTTCGGATCAATGAACCACAGATCAATGGTCGCTGTCCAGATCCAATCCGCCAGAGGTAACCGTAGTTTAATTGCTGGGGTTCTGGAGGGGCGAGGGGGTTTCGGGGTATTCGGGGGATTCGGGGTTTCTGGGTTTCTGGCGAGGCAATCGCAAGAGTCATCGAGGCTCATTGACCCATTTTGGTAGCCGAATAGTTAAAGGCATCATTAAAATTTCTATCGCTCGAAGCGAGTTTCAGTTGCTTCTACATATCTATCTATTTCTCCGTGGCCGTTTTTTATTCCTCGGGTTGCTCGGGGTGCCACACTCATTCGGTCTGGAGATCGAACCTGTTTTGACTAGCAAATTGCCAGTTTGGAGAACAACTTGTCGGGCAGTATTCTATTCTATTCTGTACTTGTAGCTTCTACCTGGGCCTCGCATTGAAAGTATGTAATCGCATAAGCATGACGCGTATTTAATGGCAAATTGACCCAAATCGTTTTTCGGGCTCCGCAGATTTATGGCTACGTGAAAGCCAAGAGCGAGCGTCTTGCAAAATGATAAATGATGGATCCCTCGGGCCAAACTTTACACTATATTTTCTTTTTTTTTCTCGGAGGAAGAGGGCCTTGAACTCCGTTAAAGAAGCATTTTGATTGGAATCATAAACAACTATTCAATCTAGTTGGAAATTGCACAGGGATTTGCCGAACTTTTCGGACAACAGCCCAGGAGAGGGGAAGGAGAACAGGTGATTCTGCATATTTCACGAGGAGTCCTGCAGCCTCCCCTCCCCTCCCCTCCCCTCCCCCCGGTTGCCCCTCCGCCTTTGGGGCAGCTTGCTGAAAGCTTGTTGCAACATATTTAGTTCGCCCGTCTTTGTATCTGTATCTCTGTATCTGTATCTCGGTCTGGCACTTGCAAAAAGTTTGCGGCACATGCAAATGAAATGGAAAACATTTCAGTGAAAACTTGGTGCGGTGCTTGGCTTGTGCATCCCCTTCAGCGGCCTCTCACATATATTTTTTGAAAAACCCCTGCAGCTTGTTCCGAGTGCTGCAAAAATGTTGCACCAAGTTTTCGAGACTCAACTTGAACAAATACCTAAAACGATGTGAATTCTTTGAACTTTAGCTCGGAAGTTAGTGGAGTGCATACATATATGCAATCTGCCAAAGGTGAAAAGTGCCAAACACTCTCCCTTTCTATACAACTTTTGATTTGTTGCCATAAACATGTGCAACATGGAACCACATTTTTGTCACTCTTGTCCCTTTCCTCCCCCCTTGGAATTTTTGCAATATTGATTTTTCAATTTTTTACATTTTCTTTTCGGGGAAAAAATCATTTTATCTTAACGGGGAGGTATTTTCTATTTCAATACGAGCTTTTTAGAATTTTATGAAAACTAAAGTTTATAAAAAAAAAAATACAAAAATCGGGAAACCTGCTAAATAATGTTTTCCCGTTCTCGCAGTTGAAAAACAATTTTCTGTTTACAACAGCTGAAGATCATTTATCAGTACGTGATGAGAAAACGGCTTCAATCGAGAGCAGCAGAAATGAAATAAAAGCGACGACAAAGAGCAAAAAACTTGGGAGGACGGCTCGTCCTTGCATTCGTCCCAAGTCCTGAGGTCCTGAGTCCTCACCGAGTACAGTCGGCATTCGCTTTATGGATGCGAGTGCAAGATGCTAGATGCATTGTCATAAATATGAGAAGGCCCTGCCGCCAGACGCAGCGTCCAAACTGCTGAATGCTGAATGCTAAATGCTAAATGCTAAAGAGGAAATGGCGAAGGGAGCGATGTCTGTTGTCCGTTGTTTGTCTTTTGTCGTTTATCGTTTGTCGCACGCACAACTTGCGATTGCAAAGATACAAAGCACAGATAAGCAAACAGATTGTCGCCTGGAGGGTCGCTTCCAAGGGGTGGCGACGTTTCCAGGGGTGTTCTACATATCCAAATAGCCCAAGGCTCGAGCAGAACCCAACCAGCTTGACCAGCAGATGCAAGTGACTTGGGAAGGTACAGTGGATGGAACAGGAAGCTGCCTGCAATCGATAATGTGCAAAAACATAAGTTGAAACTTTCCAATGTTCCCAAAACAGCTTAAAGCCTATTCCAACCAAAAACGATTTAAGCTGAAATAAATAATAAATTTGTTGCGTAATATAATGTGGCTTTCAAATAGTTAACTCCTTTGACTCCACTGTTGTGTTGGGTCGTTCTATATTGTCTTCCATTAGGCAAAGAACCATCGCCAGCCGCAGCCGCTTTCTTCTAGCGGGAATTTCTCGCCCATGGCAAGAAAATATTACACGCAGTTTTCCACTTGCCATTTTGCGCCCGACCAAAGTGGTTTCCACAGAGTAACGAGGAAAAAGACCGACCATATTTAAAAATTGAATGATTCTGGGGAGGCGCAGTCTAAAACGGGGATGGGATGACAAAGAGTAACGCCTTCTATCGACCCATCATTAATCTCATTCCATTTCGCATTGCAGTGCCTCTGGAGGAACAGAAAAGCATCCCAGCCGTCAGAAGGAAGTCAGCCAGTCTCCCAGTCAAAATGGCCCACTCCAAGGTGATCCTGAAGATCCTCTTCTCGCTGTGCGTCTGGTCCTTCGTCATCATCGGGCTGTTCAAGATGCACGGCACGAACCTGGTGCCGCAGGAGTACCAGCAAGTGCCGCTCAACGGACGCATCCTGCTGCAGAAGGACATGCGGTTTGCGGAAACCACCTCCACGACCACGGATCACTTTGATCCCAGTGAGATCCTGGTGGACAATCGGACAGGTGAGCGAGAAGCCAATAAACACATTCAATTTGATGGTATACTTAAAATCCTAGCAGAAGAAAAGCCTCTTTATACAATATAAATTATGCAATTGGTTGATAAGTCTGGGCACCTGTTACACCCTCATTATCTCATTTCCCCTTTTCAGCCATGGACGATGACCAGCTGGTCCGCGACGTGGAGTCCCGCATTCCCTCGCTGCCGATCGCCTACTGGAGCAAGAACAAGAACTTCCTGCAGCAGAAGTCCTCCACCTGCGCGAAGTACCCCTCCATTTTCGAGCTGGAGTTCAACAACATCTACTGGCAGACGCTGCGCACCTCGAACGGAACGTTCCAGCTGTTCGGCGCCTACTACGACATCCGGCGCACATCCCTGCTGGGGCCGACGGTGCGCATCCTCGGGATGATCGACCGAATTGAGCCCAAGGTGAAGACCTACTGCCAGTTCTGGTTCGACGGCCAGAAGGAGCCGTTCATCGTGAAGACGTTCGAGTACAAGTACATCTGGTACAACAAGTGGGGCAACTACAAGCAGGGCATCTACCAGCCGTACCTGATCGCCTGCCAGATCCCCAAGCCCTTCCACGGCGTGGTGCCCAGCTCGGTGTCGATGGTGGAGAAGGAGTGCGACACGGCCACCAACAACCTGCGCGTGATCTACAACCGACCGCCCGACGACCAGAAGAAGGGCTTTGCCGTCTGCGTCAAGGGACTGGACTTTCTCTACGACGACCTGAGCGTGCGCCTGATCGAGTGGATCGAGATGCTCAACATCCTGGGCGCCGACAAGATCTACTTCTATAATCTCCAGGTAAGGAGAAGCCCGCCCAACCCAAATGCTAACAGATAAATGCAAACAGATACTTCCCTCTTACTGATAACACTTTATAATTCATTTCATTCAATAAATGTTTTCTGGTTTATCCCGTGCAGGTCCATCCCAACATTACGAAGGTGCTCAACCACTACGAGCAGGAGGGCAAGGTGCAGGTCATCCCGCTGACACTGCCGGGCGGTCAGCCGAACGTGCCCGGGTTCCAGCACCTGTACCTCACCAAGAAGACGAACCACAAGCGGCAGAACGAGGTGATCCCCTACAACGACTGCCTGTACAAGAACCTCTACCTGTACGACTACATTGCATTGCTCGACATCGACGAGGTGATCATGCCCAAGGGCGGGGCGGTCCTCTGGTCGGAGCTGATGGACAAGGTGCGGCCGGAGTCGCGCAAGATCAAGCCGGACGGCTTCCACAGCTACAACTTCCGCAACGTGTACTTCCTGGATGACCAGCAGCACGAGCACGGCTGGCACAAGGACATCCCCAAGTACATGCACATGCTGCAGCACGTGCACCGCGCCAAGAACTACACCAAGCCGAACCAGTACGTCAAATGCTTCCACGACCCGGAGCGCGTGCTCACGTTGCACAACCACTTCCCGCTGAGCTGCCTGGGCGGGGTGTGCAAGTCGTACCCGGTGGACACGCAGGACGCCCAGCTGCAGCACTATCGGGCGGACTGCGTCAAGACGCTGAAGAAGAGCTGCGAGGAGTACCGCGAGCACTCCGTGGAGGACAAGACCATTTGGAAGTACAAGGACGAGCTGATCCGACGCACCATCAAGGCACTGGACACCCTGGGCTTCTTCCGGCGCCAGGGCCTGAACTCCGCCTCGGGATCGGGCAGCAGCAGCAGCAGCGGACTGGGCGGCGGTGCCACCACCCACTCGACGGAGCGGTGATTCACACTACTCGGGGCCGGGGCCGGGGGAGGCGGGTGGTCCTGGCCCTGGCAACTGGTCGAGGCATCCGGCAGCAGCCTCGGCAACGAGGAGTTCTTCGTCTGAGGTGATCCTAGTACGCCGGATGTTGGCATCCAACCCAACCCAACCAGGTTGCTAACCCAATCCGAACCCAAAACCCGTCCTCTGATCCCTGAGCTTGGGCTGCGCAGAGTTGAGTTAGTGCGTCCAGAGTTCCCATCCGAAAACCGCATAAAACAGGACTCTGTTTTCGATTCGAATTCGATAAAGAAAAACCAGCCACTTGAGTATAGTTTTTTGAACCTGATGCTGTAGAATTGGTAACATCCATTTGCTTTGATCATCGCCTAAAGATAAGAGAGAGACTTTTGTAATTCAATCGAAATCGCAGACAAAAACAATCTTTGATTGAGCACGGCTAGTGTATAGAAGAGGCGTAAGTTAGTCGCGGAGTTGGGAGACGTTTTTGAAATTGTGCCTTTGAACCTGGATTGTAGTGAGTCCCGTCCCGTCCTTGCCTCACATCCCCCGCTCCCACATCCCAATTATGTATTTCCATTCACAAAAAACAAAGACAGGTCACAAATTTAAAACGAAAAAAAAAAAAAAAAAGAGAACAGGACCCACAATAATGGCCTGAGTTCATAACAAAACAAGAGAACTAGAGTCGAGGGGAAAATAAATCTTTGCAAAGTGAAGGAAACCTAAACTAAGTTCAAGACTGATGATGTTTATTAAGAATTAAAAAATCGAAAGAGTGGGAATTTCAATCGGATTTTGTTTTCACATTCGGATAAAATCGATACTATTGTTGTTGTATAGACAAGTATAGGCCCCTAAAAATCGCAAGCGAAAAATATCACTAATGCTAAGCAAAACAAAAAAAAAAACATTTAGGAAAAACAATTTAACAAGTTTAAATTGTAAACTGTAAATAGGAAAATTGTTAAAGAAGGCGAGACCCTGAAGAAGACGAGGCCCTAAGAAAAACGAAGTATATGCAGATAAGGCCGATCAAAATCGGATTAACTACCAGAATAAAATCGAGAATATATAAATTAAGAGAAGCTGCTCAAACCAATCTTTTTCTTATTTTACCCCTGGTTAAATACCAAGCATTACCCGATATGCATATATTTTTTAACTTGTATATACACATACACCTACACACAACACACACACACCAACACACCATACACATTTCCTAATGTATTCTATTTAATTTTTGAATAGCAGCTAAGTCAAATTGTTCTTGAAGCTAAAGAGAGTCGTGTACAGTTTTGGAAACTATGCACCCATTAAAACTATTCGATAGTTAACCGACTATTCATAACACAAATCATATACATATACATATAGATAAAGACATACAGATGCAGATACATAAACAGATACAGATACAGTTGTGGGTGTATTAATGTTAGTTAGGTGATAAGAACAACCCGTGTGAAGGAAATCCCATATTCTTCCCTAATTTTTTTTGAGTAGCTAATAAAACACAATTGATATGAGAACAAAGTGATTGAGGAATAAAATAAAAAAATACGATATAACATGAAGTATTTCGTCAAATAATTTTGATTTTTGTTTAAAACGCAGTTCGAGTTGCCTACTTAAATCAGAACTAGTTGACGAAATATCTGTCCTCTTTTCTAATGCGATAAACTTAAATTAAATTCTGTTACAGATGAAAATGAGATCCTGCGATACCGGTAAAGTGTCGAGACAAAACTTCCAGAAATGTAAACAACTGAGTATTTAGAACCGGGCCAAAATGAATCCACTTTACGCTGGGGCTGTACCAAAGGGAATAGTCGTCTAAGGATACCTTAAGCCACAGCACATGAAACTTTCTGCCCGAAGAGCCAAAGGATAACACAAGGCAGCTTCGCAGCCACCGGACAGGACCAACAACAAAAGGAGCTGGGCGCTAAGACTTGGGCGTAGAAATTTGTATAAACGCAACTTAAGTGAGCATTAAACCCGCTCCACTGGAGGACCAGAAACAGAATTGAGAGAACCTGAACCCTGGGAACAGCTCTGAAGTTTCAGGGCGTCTAAGTTGGTTAATAAACATTACCAACGCCACAAAACCCATTTACGTAAACTATTAAAATTGCGCAGGGTATAAGTTGCCTACCACCACCACCCTTTCTTCGCCTTGTTTCACGATTATGTTTATTTATATGGCACACACGAGGCGGAAAGTGGGTTGAAGGGCGAGAACGTCAGGAGTTTATGGACTGTAGAAGGATGATTATTATGTTGATTCCGCCGGCGGTTATGGCAGTGGTTTTAAACACTTGCCAGCAGCCCAACTGATTGAAAATTTGTAGCTCCTGACTTTGCCACACCGTATACATAGATTACGAAGCAAAAAAGGACGGAAATGCAAATGCAGAAAACTAATTAAAATTCTCTACTCCCAATGCTATCCCGTGGGATATGCGTTGCATTTATAATTTATAAATCCGGGAAACAACGTGGCTTTAAATTTAAATTTGCAACAGTTAGACTAACCCCAATGATGATGGTTGAGCGGATCGTCATTTAAAAGGTCAAAAAACTGAAAAAAATACGCCTCGATTGTCCAACTTTTATTTTGTTTTCAGTTTTATTCGTCTTTAACTTTCTTTAAAATAATCTACATTACTTCGGAGTAGGTTAACGCGCAGCAGCCCTCTTATGTATGAAAACAAGAACACTTTTCGCATACAAATTTGGATTTTTCTGAACTGCAACACCAGGCCAACATAACCGCTTAGTAGGTGCAAATCGATCAGCTGATCAGCTTAAACTTGGACTATTAGTGTTGAGCGCGTGACAAGTTATTCTTGTCACGCCAACAACAACCACATGGAAATTTATTATTTACTTGTGCGCGGCGTGCCACTTTCGTGACACGCACAAAGAATCAGCGTGGTTTCGCATCTCTGGTCTGATGTTTTCTTTTGAAACAACGGTTTTTGCCAGCGTGATGGCTTTCTGATTGGTCGGGACAGGGATGGGAAGCGTGACAAGGACAGCTATCTTGTGAAAAGAACAGTTATTTGAGTTAAATCAAATTAACCAGCTGCAGCCTGCTATTGATTATGTTGGCCTGGTGTCAGAAATCGATTTGGGAAGCAAAATCGGCGGTTTTTGGGAAACCAATCACCAGGCAAACAAAACTTCGAAGTAGGTGAATGTGCAGCAGCGCTAATTTGTACAAAACAACAACACTTTTCGCATACAAATTTGGTTGTTTCTAAACTGCAACACCAGGCCAACATAACCGCTTAGAAGGTGCAAATCGATCAGCTGATCAGCTTAAATTTGGCTTGTGGCGTGACAAGGACAGCTATCTTATGAAAAGAACAGTTATTTAAATAAGATCAGATTTACCACCTGCAACCTGCTATGAGTTATGTTGGCCTGGTGTCTCAAATCGATTTGGGAGGCAAAATCGGCTGTGTTTGCGAGACCAAACACCAGGAAAACAGAAATGCGAAGTAGGTGAATGCGCGCAGCGCTAATTTTCATACAAACAAACAACAACAATTTCCGCTAGAAAATTGTGTCGAACTGAATTGAAACACCAGGCAAACATAACCGATTAGAAAGTGGAAAATGATCAGCTGATCGACGCTTGATGCTACTTTTAAGTAACGGTTCTTTCTAGCGAGATGGCTTCTGATTGGTGGATCACGTTGATTTGGATTTACCACCTGCAACCTGCTACGAGTTATGTTGGCCTGGTGTCTCAAATCGATTTGAAGAGCAAAATCGGCTGTTTTTGGGCCACCAAACACCAGGCAAACAGGAATTGTTAGTAGGTGGCATACTCCGACGAACCAGCAACTCTTAAAAGTAGGCAACAATTTCGGATGAGAAATGTCAAAACATTTTTCGCGGCAACCTGTAATATTACTTAATTGCAAAAATCAGTTTGCCTTAAAAAAGGCTGCTTACCGTAATATGGTTTTATGAAATACAGGTTTGATCGCAAATTCAATATTTTCTTTTGTTTTTTTCTTTATTAAGCAATAATTTTATACATATATGCTTATTCTATGTTTATTATAATTATTACACAACTTCGCATATATTTCTGGGGATAATTAAAAACGTGTTTTGTCATCATTCATATTGTGTCCAATAACTGAAAAATAAGAAACATTTTTAACATTAATAAAGTATTTTTTTTATATGCGTAGAGGACTTTGGATATTTATTTATTAGGATACGTTTTCTTCATCAAAAAATAACGAGTATGGTTTTCTTAAACTTTTTATTTATTCTTAATAGCAGCTGTAACGCTGAATACCCCCGAATCCACGCACAAATCCCAATTTAAATTGCAATGCAGATGGCGTTTGATTTTTGGCCAGCCTAATTATGTGCTACTCCCCCACTTTCCACTTTCCACTGGCCACTGACCCCTTTCCCCTTTTACCATCTCGTTGCAGCTGTGCGTGTGTGCGTGCAAGATTGGCAAACCAAACAGGAAATGCTAATTACATGTAAGTGTACACAGCATATGAGTGTTTGCGTGAGCTGTTGTGTGTGGCCACTCCGACTCCAATTGCAGGCTCCCTCCACCCAACTAAGCCCCCTTTGCGCCCACGGGAGGCAAAATCGCCCGATTGCCGGCTCATGCAATATTATTGCTCGCAATCTAATTAACCGCACAGCGAAACCAGCCCACCCCCACATTCACCTGGCCAATATTTGCGCCAACTGGTCATATCAAAATGGACACACACACACACGTATAAGCGCATGTCCGAAACACACACACAATGGAAATTATACGCTTAATTGAGAAAGGAATTCCGCGCTAATTCAATTCGCCTTCACCGCCCTGCGTTTCTGACCTGGCTTACACTACTGGCGCCGACTTTTGGCAGCTCTATTGGCAAGTTAAGCAACCGCAAAATGAAGCTTTAGGTCGCCATTAAGAGGCTACTTAAAAGTTTTTTCACTGAATTCTATTGAGCCGCAATACAAGCCTCTATGGTTAAGCGAGAACCACACAAAATTTAAACCTTTCAAAATTAACATTCCAAAGCTAAAACAATCAAAAAGTAGAAAAAAAAAAAATTAAGGTTCAATCCAATCCAATTAAATCCACTTTACGGCACTACTTAAAGTAATCGCTACCACATTCTTTATGTTTTCAGCTTAAACTGTCGCCCAGTGCAGTGCCAATGACACAGTTCCTGTTTCTGCTCCCTCCACTTCTTTTGGACATCTACCAGTCACCATGCAAACTTGCCTCCTTTCCAGCAGATCCTGGGCTCCTTTTCCCGCCGACCCTGTCTATTAGTCAATTATAGACAAATGGCCTGGGAGTTGCGAGCGCGGCACAATGTAAACAAGCCATCAATAGCAGCAAACGTACAGCAGGAAGGAAGGATGAGGTGGGGAGAGGGCGGAACTGGGTCGTAAGGAAGGCGGGGTAGGGGGGGGAATGAAGGAGCCCAGCATGCGGCCTGGTTGAGATAAAAGAATTATGTATAGGCAACAGCAGGGGCAAAAAAGGGGGTCGAGGTCCAACACAAAAGGCGAGAAAGGACCCACGGGCCAGTCCGGATTCAGTAGAGTGGGTTGGTGATCTGCGAAAGGAAACCACAAACCACACAGAGAAATTGAAAAAAATGCAGGGAACACACTAGAAAGCCAAAGGAAAAAGGTATTGTTGCAGGGAAAACGGAAACGGGATGGCGAGCAAAAAACTAGACTGAGAAAAAGAAGAAAGTTATTGTCATTGGGTCTTCCACCAAACTGAAAAAGTTCCTGCCGACAAAATTTGAATAGGAATTCAAATATTTCTATTTAACCAATCTTAAATCCGTTATTAAATGGTATTCCTATGCTCTACATAACTAAAACTAACAATTCATAGTTATTTTTTTCTAATAGCTTTGTTTAAAATAAATATAATGATCAGAATGCCTCTGGATAATCACTCATTCTTTTTCCACTGTGACAAACCCCTGGGAAAAATCACCTGCAGACAGCCAAAAGCGAATCCCCGCGGGGACTCGCATCCCCATCCCCATCCCCACCCCCTTTTCACTACTATGCTGCAAACACAAAACGGAATTCAGGAAAAACGCAGTAAAACAAAAGAGAAAGCGTCGAGCCAAAAGACAGGCTCCCACTGGACGACTAAGCGGTTAGCAGGAGCGAAAACTGGGGGCGGGCTGCCTGTTTCAAGACGCTCAAGAGGGCGGGTTCCGGGGGCGGTTAAAACTTTCAAGGAACGGCGTCGGGCAGATAAACAAAAGTTCTCCATGTCCGTGCCACAAATGCAAAAAGCAAAGAAAAGCTCTACTATTACGACTACGGAACATTCCCTTTAAACTACATAGTATTGATATGACCAATTAGAGAAAAAAAAACGTAATTCATACTGGAATTTTATTACCTGATTTTGCGAGTTTCCATGTAAAATATTTTTGATAAGCTTCGCAGTTTAATACTTTAACAAGAAAGAAAGCACGCTTCGGCGAGCCGACTGAAAACGTGTTTGTTTTTTATCCCTATTTTTCCTTAAAAACCACTAAAAATATAGTGTTTTTCACTAAAATTGTGAACTAATATTTTCCAAGGATAAGTTAAAGAAATAAGGACGCGGGATGGGGATGGGTTTAGTCGCCTTCGCATCTTTCATCTTCCACTGTTCCGACTGTCAGTGGCGGCAAAAGGTTTTAAATTTAAGCAGACCCCTCAGTGCGATCGCAGCCACACGATTTCCGCTAAATGCCAGCTGGGAAATGCAGAAATGGGCTCCTCCCCTCGCAAATGCCCACTTTAGTCATAATGCTGCCAGTTGCCAATCGCCGTGCAAACAAAGGCAACAAAATCTAGTTAATTGGGTAAAATGCTCGGCGGAAATTGAAAGCAAAGGCAAAGCTGCAAACGCGACCGGCGCGCCGGGGAGGGTTCGAAAGGGCAAGCGAAATGCAATAAATATCTAAATTTCGCCTTTTGCCGGACCATTATTTATCGATTTATGCAAATTCGCAGCGAACAATTTATCAATAAACAACAATAAATTAAAATCAACAATCACTGGACTAAACATTCCCATCGCCATCTTTTTCACACGGCGCACTCTCTCTTTCTGTCCTGGTTTTTTGGTTTTTTGGCCCTCCGCCCCCCCGACAGTCGAAATTGAAAACGAAATTTATAAATGCAAATTGTCACGCCACTGAAAGCCAGCAACAACATCGAAAAGTGCATAGTGTTTTCCACAAACATATAGTCGGGTAAGTACCTGTGATATACGAGTACATATATCCGAACCTGTACGGCCGAACCCGTCGACTACACAAACAAATTTTACGCGAGCAAAAATGTTTGTTGTTCGCAACCAAAAATGAAAACTGCGAGCAATGAAAAAGTGCAGGAAGATGGACCAACAATGCCGAGAATGCCAGGTCAGGTTATTTTCAGTTGTAAAAAACCCCACCCAGTGGAAAATTCGATTGGCATTTGATAAAAATGCCTGCTCTAAGGGGCCGAATAATTACTATGCCTAAAGGTGTGTACACACCGTTTCGGAATCGCCGGCAGGCGCTAATCCTGCGGGCATGTACACACTGGCCAGAACATAAAGCGAATGGGAGCCGTGCAAAAAGTGCTTTCGCATATTTTAATTTGGATTTTAATTGCACTCATGGTAAATGGATTAACAATGCAATTAGCATTGCTTTAAAGAAAAAAAAGAAAAAATAATAAAAAAAAGAGAGAAAAAAGAAAATAATAAATGTATGCAAAGCACTATAACATTTAAAAATGTTATGAATATTATGATTTGTGTTAAATTATCTTAATAATATATTCACTTTGAAATTATGTTTCTTCCATTTTAAATAACCTTTTATTTGATTATCGAATCCTTTTCCCAGTGGGCAGCAATCAAGCAAACGGGTCCTCCTGCTTTTGGTCACACCCCCTCGCGCCTTCTTTCCAGCCCCTACACCCCGCTTCGCTCCGCTCATCCCCTAGTGCGCGGCACAACCTTTGACCGGAGCTATTTTTGCATACTTTTGTGCGACGCGCCAACAATTTGCATTTTCCATTTCGGCGTCAAATGAAAAGTGCCCGACTGACCGGCAGTTCCGGCCCCTATCCCCATTCCCACTCCCACTTCCACTCCCATTCCCATCTACAAGCCTGCTTCTTTGTGAGGCTGTGGAGTGGGAAGTGCTTAACCAAAGCCTGCAGCTGCACTGATGATTTATCGCATTTTTGACGTTATTGACATTTTATTTGTTTGCGATGAAGTCATTTAGTGCAGGCAGCACGCGTGAAAACTCGGGCAGTTGAAAACTCTGAGAGGGTAGAGCTCCTTCAGGACCATGATTTATGTCGATATCGACGAAGTTGGTCGAAAGAAGGAAGTAGTTTTTCCTCTACGACTTATTTATGTTAGTCAAAAAACTAAACTTTTCCCAACAAAAACGGTTCTCCTCGTTTGAACTTATTTAACCCATTGTGAAATCTATTCTTATGCTATGTGAAATGCCAAAAATGCAGTTGGCTTTTGCTTTTGACAGATTGTGCCTGATGTGTGTACCTGACTTGTTAGACTTTTCATTACACTTCTGTCGTTCGAAGTAGACACGTCTAAAAAACCTAATTTTTTATACTGAACGAACTTTTATTCCGGAGATCTAGGACAATTGGGAAACACAAACGGTCAGGTAAGTGATAACAAATTCAGAATCCTCTTGAGAATATATGGATATTCTAGATATCTAGAAATTCAAAAAAATGTCTTCAAAGGCCATCGATTAGGGACTCTTTTAACTCCTCTACTGCTCTTTAGGTCGTTTCATGGCTTTGCCTATGTCCAGCACACCTGTTTTGGAGCAGCAATTAACGTCTTAATTACGGCGTTGACCATGTGAAGATGGGCGCTCCCAAGGCGGGGTCTTCTTTTAGCAAATATTTAAATACTTTCCTGTCGGCACTCTACCGAGGCCCTTCCTCTGGGGCTTAACCAACGATAATTTAAGGGGTTATATACCTTTTTTTTTTTTCAAAAAAACGAAAAATTTTTTTAAGCTGAATCCTAAAGTATATCCCCTAGAGAACATTTTCCCAAATTTTTGAAGAGATCCGAATAATAGTTCGATAGGAAAACAGCGTTTTGAGGCGCGGTACGTCACTCTTTGTACCGCAACGTAAAACTTTGAATGCGATTATCTCAAAGTCGTTTTTTTCCAAAAGTGCCTTTGCTGTGACCGCGATTGCACAAGAACTATTTGATCGATCTTCTTCAATTTTTTTTTTAAATATTCGTAATGATTGTGCCGAGTTCGTCATTGAATCAGTTTTTATGCGGCAATTTCGATTTTGCAGATAAGAAATTTTTAATAAAATTTTTAGAGCTCGAAAAATCAATTTTTTGAAAAAATTGTTACTGTATGCAGAAAAAACCAAATATTCTTGAAGTAATTCAATGACGAACTAGAAATAATACTAAACTAATAAAAATTTTTTGGTTTATTGATTTTAGTTGACCCGCTGGACTTCCATCGTGGTCACCGCAAGCCGCTATAACAAAAAAAGGGTTATGAGAGAATTGCCAAAACTTCGAAAGTTATTTATATTTTTTTAAGAACAAACGTTTGTTGTGTCTATAAAAACATGTACTATCAATAAATAATAACCTCAGTATCATAAAATAATTGCTACACACCTGAAAAAAAATCCAAAGTTCCCTCATTTTTTTCGCTCAAAAAGGTATATAACCCCTTAACTGAAAGCCAGCTCCAGGTCGGGAGACAAAGAGCTGCAAGGATTTGCAACCGGAGACTGGGGTCTCTTCTGGAACTGTCAAATGGCAGACAGGAGCGCCCCGAGTATCCGCCTCACTTTTTATACCCTTGCTGAGGGTATTATAATTTCAGTCAGGAAAGGTAAGGGCACATGGGATAAGTTAAATGACAATTAAATTGAATTCGGTGGCATGAATAGTTGAGCTTTTCTAGTTTCCAAAACTATACTTTGTTTGGCTGTAAGTTGTTTCTTGACCAAATAACAGACAACTGGCCATTGAAAAATGTTTTTTTTTTCTTATGCAATATCTGAGGAAGTACTCTTTCTTCTTCTTCATGCAAGGGTATATAAGGCTTCGACTCTCCGAAGCCAGCTTTCTTTCTTGTTTCTTTTTGTCGTTGCTTAGGTGTCGTGCCTCTGCACTTGAGATATGTCCGTGCGAACAGCATGCAGCGTTTATATGCCCCATTCTCGTATATATCACATCTGTATGTTTTTCGAGTTATTTGCACTTGGAGCTGTATGGCAAATGCCGCACACAAACACTCTGTGAAAGGAGAGGGCCTTTTCGGGGCACTTTCCCTGGCAAGAGCTCGGCACAAATGCATTTTTCTTAATAAGCTCGCCCCGCCCGTCGTTGTTTGAGCTTTCATTTAAATTATATCGGTGGCAGGGATCGTTTTTTACCTGGGAAGAATGCAGGGAGAGCTCCAAGTGACTCCTCAAACAGCGCTGTTGCGGAAAAATCGGGCGTAGAAAGCCTTAGTCGACCACAGCTACAGCGAAAAGCAATTAATGACAGACAAGTTTTCAGACTCCAGTTGAAATCAACAGCGAATGAGGAGCTCGGAGTCAGTTGGACGACTGGTGTGGGTGAATTTGGCCACAGTGTTAGGGGGTTGAGGGGGTCGGATTGGATTGGACCCAGTTTGATTGGCAATTGAGGCAAGTGACAAGTGGCAAAGCTACTGAAAAAGCAAATACTTCGGAAGCCTTTCAGTACTTTTTTTCTAACATTCTTCCTTCACTCATTTTCCTCCCATTCTGTTTTCTTTTTGGGGAGCTGGGAGAATGCCACAATTGACAACAATTTATGAGACCGCCGTTACCATCAAACTAATTAAAAAACTAAGCCTGCCAGCTAAGCCAAACTAAACTTTTTCCTCTTGTTCCTTTGCCCGTAAACCAGCCCCAAAGCTCACACACATTTCGGGTGCAAAGTGGGGCAGAAGGTGAAGGGATGGGGAAGGAAACTGTGGAATATGCAAACAAAACCCCAAAATGTTGCACTTAATTGCAACTATTGGAAACTTGGTCCTAATCCGATCTCTTCTGCAGCCAAATTGGTTTATTTTCTTGCCAAATTCTTGGGACACGTCCTCACTTGGGGGCAGAGCAAATAAAGTACGAGTTCTGAGCGAAGGAGGAACAAGTTTCTGGCAACACACACACACACACACACAGTTGCAATCAAGTTGGGAGTGTCGCAGCAATTCTGTCAACTTATGCATATCATGCAGCATTGTTTTGTCCGTCCGTTTCTGTTTTGGTCGCATGTGGCCGGAGTTCCCTTTTCGAAGAACAGAGCTAAGTGATTGAGCAATTATGACAATTGACATTTTATCTGATTATAATTCGATTGGTTGGGGAGCGCACGAGCTTGGTTAAGTCCTGGTGATAGCTGAATAGGTGTAATTTGTATAATCATATTGAATAGCGTACAATTCATAATTATTTCTGCTTTACAAATTTTCTTTTGATTGAAGCTAGCTAAATTTACCATGAATCGTTGTGGTGTAGAAGAATCCAAAACACTTTCACGACGATGTGCCCCCTCTAAAATCCCCGTTTCAATTAAAAATCGAAGTTTTAGAAGGTGTAAAGCATCTGCTGGAAACCTTGGACGCAGCAGCGCTCCGGTAGAAAGTCTCGGATCGAAAATCTTTGAGAAATCGGAACCGAAGGGAATTTGTCCTTCCCCACCACAAAGGGAATGCATACTTGACGATTCCAAAGGGAGTAACCCATCGAAATTGAATTGCTTTCCACCGGTTGTGTCCCATCAAACTAGTAAGAGTGAAAGTAATGTCGCATTGAGAGAGGAGCTAATTAATCCTACAAGCAAGGAGAATGTTGAAGAAACAGAACACCCCAAGTCAAACTTCGCAACACCCAAAAATAAACATAAAGACGTTGACTCCAGATCCTCCTGTTCCCAATCTCAGCCAATTAAGGATGAAGGATTTGAGAATCCAGGATCCAATACCAGTTCCACAACAAGGGGGCCACAACCAGATAGTGCGCGGTCAAAAGGAAGTGAAAAATCCGGGAAAAGCATTCTTGAATGTGAAATACATCAAATCTTCAGGTCCAAGGGGCTTCGCTCGAGTACGGAAACCTCTCAATCGGGTATTTCCAGGCCCTCCACAGAGCACACTTCTCCATCTGCAACTTGCGGTTCGTCTAAACTAGAAACTTCGTCTGGCAATCTACGATCGCAATCCAGAAAGAGCAGCTCATATAAAGAGGAATCTTCTCGATCGAAGGCTGAACAGTCTTCTGAAACCGAAAAATGGTTCTCTTACATCAAAAAACTGGAAAATTCAGTAACCGAAGCATCTCACCTAGTCAATGCGTCAATGGGAAGAGTACCCAAAAATACCCCAGATCAATTGAGCAGCAAAGAAAAAGTGTCAAAGAACCAGCGCGGAGCCAGAAAGGAGTCCTTGTTCCTAGGGCAACTCGACTCAGGAAGCGAGGACCATGTGCCTCCGAATGAGTGCCTTGAGGAGTCTGACGACTCACGATTTTATCGCCAGATGATCGGGGTATTCTCGGCTGGCGAGACCCTTCTGAGAACCTTTATAAAACAAAAGGCCATTGAGATGAGCCAGAGACGCCATGAAATGTTTCCTCTGGTGGCCAGAAAAGAAAAGAATGCCTGGCGACAGCCCAATGAAAGAGAGGGACAATAGTCTCCCTGTGATCCTTTCTCAGGCTGTCGGAATTAATAAAGTTTGTCGCGGAAAAATACACTGGACACCAAAAAAAAAAAATTCAAGTATGCAAGATTAAAAGTGGGAACGACAAGTACAATAGCCACATCTCCGATTTATTCGAATAAAACTTCGTAACTTCGTAATTTTGTATGGTATTAAATAAATGGAATATACATTTCTCACCATAACTATATCCTAATGCATGTTTTATATTTTATGATTTATGTTGTATACTGTATTTGGCTTAACTTCGAAAATAAAATGAAAAAAGATCAAAACGCTTGCCGTCCAGTTTGTCAAAATTCGCAATTAAAAATGTTTCTCAGAAGCAAGTTAGCCAAACTATTTCATCATCGTCAGATACTCCGCGTTCCCCGGAGAGCAGAGGAGCAGAAGGCCCGGAAATATTATTCTGTTTACAGTCGCGCTATTTTAAGCGAAAATCGCTGACGCAGCGTGTGTGACAGCAGCAGCCGCAGACCCCCCCGCCTTTCCCCTCTGAACGTCAAGTGTCTTTGCATAATTTTTAGACAACCGCACAAGGGTGACTTTAATGTCATCAGCGGTTTTGTCCGTTTTTTGTTCACACAACGAACCCCAGAGCCCCCGAACCCCCGAACCCCAAACCGCGCGCTTTCTTCCGACAGCTGTCAGCGGATTTAATGTGCAGTTTTAATCAAATTCCCATCAAGCTAGTTAGGAGACGAGAAGCCAGAGCCAAAAGTGGCGCCTGAACTTGTCCCTTTCCCTTAACTTCTCACATGAATATGTGGAAGCTCTTTACAATCGGATGAATTAATTTAAAAAATATATTTTTTGGGATAAATGCAAAGACAACATTAGCCATGTGTTAATCTTAATGGAACTCAGCCTTATTGAAGATAAAACGCTTAATGTCCTGATTAAAGCAGACATTTTTAATATTGAAATGAGCCTTACAAAATGTAGGCAAAAGTGCTGGGTATTTTTGCCCAGAGAAGAAAACATGCGTTCTTCTCTCGAAATTAATAGCAGTTAAACGTACATTTGGGGGCTTTTGGGGAACAGCGGTTGGAAAGGGTTTCGCGGCAGGTGAAAAAATTAGCAGAAGGGTAAAAAAAGGAGGGTGCCAAGTGCATTGGTAACGATGCCACTAACACTTCAAACTTTGTGGCGCGCTGAGACTTTGCGGTTTTTATGATTCTCCCCCAGCTGTCTCCACGCTTTTCGCCACCGCCCCCTTTCTTCCTCTTTCCTTAATGGGCGGAGAGGATATGGAGCAAAGTTTTCGTCGACATCTTAATTTCTCACTTGTAAATTGAGCTGCGCCAGCAACCGCAAATTAGACCCCAAATGATAGGTACTTGTGGATGCCAAATATTCCCCGGAGTTTCCCTCCGGTTCTTGTCCACATCACCACCATTCTCCTCCCCCTTGCCTACACACACACACATACACACGCACGCACTCGCACACGCATTCCCACACAGACATTTACATATACGGAAGACCAACCAAAGTACAAAAGACAAGGGGAGAAAGGTGAAAGTCAGGAGAAAGAAGGCCCTCGCAGAGTTGCCAACTTGAAAAGGGCTGCTTGAAATGGGGTAAAAGGGAGTGACAAAGGTTTTAAATTGAAATGTTTCTAGTGGTACCTTGCAACATTTGCCATAAAGTTGCCAACTTTATCGAAATAATGATTTTCGAAAATTAAAAAGCAGCCACCTTTTCAATTTAATTTTTTTCTTAAATATGGCCTTTAAAGCTCTTAGTTGTCTTGTCTTATAAAAATGCGTTCAATCTACGGGATGCTGCATTTACTGAAATTTCCCCATGGGCAGCCATGTCTGCGCTTACACCACGGCCTTTGCGCCTGACCCCCACCTGCTGCACCCCCAATCCCCCGATCACCACACACCCACAATCACCGCCCCGCTTTCTCCTGCTCCATCCCATTCCCCACTCCCCATTCCCCACTCCCATCACGCGCTTTTCACACCGCACCCACGTAGCCAAACATTTGCCAATGAGCGTTGAAGCGTGGGACACCAACCGCTGCAGACGCCTCAGGGGAAATCCCCACCTGCCCCAGGTTTCGCCGCAATTTCACCACCGCCTTCACACCCAAACAAAGGGTGTTGGGTTCGAAAACGCTCTCACAATTAGAGATAGTTGCAGCAATGGCTGTGCCAGCTTAACTAGGACCAAAATTATTCTATATGTATTGCATAACTAAGCCACCTCTTAAATTAGAAGTTTACTTTTGAACGCAGGAACTTTCTATGAAATATGCAAGGGGAAAGTTTCTAATTTAAGTTGTAATTTCTGGAGTAGCGATTTTCCATACAAACATAATTTCATTAAGAAAGCACTTAAAAAAATTCATTTCTGTTGATTTTTGGATGCCGAACCCACCGACCACCAAAAAGGAGAGCCAATAATTTGGCCAATGACGAGCAATAATTTGCCAGCCAACTTTTGAGGGCCCTTAACCCCTGGTCAACCCTTAACCCCCTGTTTTTGGCAGTTGCTTGCGTGGCACGTACAAAGTTTGTCTGCTCCTTGCGAATTGCCGAATGTGAGAAATGCTGGGAAAGTGGAAAGTGGGAAGTGGGAAATGGCAGCGGGAAAAGCCGCGAATGATTCATGGCCATTGCAATTTAGCTGCCAACTTGCGAAAAGTACCGGAAACGCATTCATTTTCCGCATTCTTCACATCAATAATGGACTGCAAGGAGCGAACGAGGGAGGCGTGGTTGCCACTCGGACTCGGAGATCCGCAGTCCTAATTAAGTTTGCAACATTTATGACTTGTTAGCCAAGGACTTTCGACAGGCTAACTAGCCGGAGTTTGTGGCAGTTTGATAGGAATCGGTTAAGTGTTAATCTGGCCTCAGGCAGAATTTAGTTGTGTGGAAAACAGAACCTGTTTTCAGTATAATTAGGATATATTTATATAATAATTATCAAAATAGATTTACTTCTTGAAAACGCTATTAAACAAGATGCTCAAACTGGGAAAAGTGACGGCGTTCTTTACGTTTACAGATTGGTCCTCGCTGATTAAATGGGTCTGGCTTTTGACTAAAAAAAACCCTTCTAGGACAAGAAGGATTTACCATAAAGGCAGGGGAAGGCGGGAGCAGCTCAACAGAGCCAAGTAAGACCTCCTCAATTTCATTTTACGCTTCGTCTACCACCAAAATGGCCTCCGAAGGAAGCCAAGGCGAATGCCAAGGATGAGCTCCTTGTTGTCCAGATTTTCTACAGTTTTTTCCAACCCGCTCGTCTGTGAAATGATGACAGTTGCGGTTTCATTTTTTCGCTGTCCATTCAACGCCGCTTAGGTTTTTCGGACTTAGGTGAGTTTGCAATACCCCAATTTTTTCGTTTAAAAACAAATCGCGAAACGCAAGGTTATCGAAAGCCTCCTAAAACCTGACTAATAGCTATAGAAGTAATTTTGTGAAGTCATTTTCTCTCATTCTTAAATTCTAATTTAAAAGAAAATAATCCCCAAATTATTTATAAAGCAATTCTTGTTAAAGAACTCAAAATTATAAGTTCAGATAAAAATTAAAACTAAAATAGTTTTCATAACTTTGTAAGTCTTGCAGTTTTTATGAATAAATAAAAATCACTTACCTAATGAGTGGAATTCATAAAAGTGCGAAAGTTCTCCAGTAATTGAAGGGTTATCATTGACGAGTTATGTAGACGAGTCCTTATTATCATGAAGAGTATTGTATTGCCAAAAATTGAGTGGCCCAGGAGGCAATTCAATAAGTTCACCCTCAAAATTCTCGTTATTTGTTGCCTCCAGCTGTTCATCTTCGGCCTGATATTTAAATACACTGATCTTTGTAGTAAAGTTTTCGAATTCCGAACTTTCTTGAGGTCCAATCGCCTCCTCTTTTATGGTGTGCAACATTTTGGCGCTTTATAAGAGCATAACATAAGATGAAGGCAAAAATATTTAAATTTTTTAAACTCACATGCTAAGGAAGTGCTTTTCCTGAAGTCGCAAATTCGACACCAAACCCAGGAAATGCTGCAGCGGAAGAAGCCGATTTCGTTTACGTGAACTGGTCGCTTCGAGTCGCCCAATACGCATGGTTTTGTTCAAGACATCAAGCGAATTTTGAAGAATTATAAACCGCAGCAGCCAGGAGTCCAAAGTGGATGCGTATTTATCGATGAGCGCCAGGTGGGCTTTTAAAGCAGCTAAGGCTCGCTTCTTGACCTTGTGATCTTTGCAAATGTTCAACTCAATGATTGGCAAGCATTGCACGTAACTTTCGACTCGGCACTTCAAGAGGTCAGCGATAAGCTCCTCAATTTCGGGGTCAAGGTACTTTAACTTATTTGCCGACTAGAAAAAGTTAAAAAATATTAGCATCGCATAAACTGTGATATATATTATTAGCTCACCATTTTGTATTGTATTAACACCTTCCATATACGATTATTAGGCAATTCAATATGTTTTGTCCGAATGAGTTGCCGAAAGATGACATGCATCTCTGGCAAATAACTATTCGCAAGCAGATCGTTTTTAGGTTGCAATGGTAGTGGAGAGGTTAATTGGTCCAAAAGCTTGTCATAAGTAGAGCTATCAAGTTCCAAAAATGGCAAAGGGCTGATATACAATATGAGAATAGAACAGAAAAAGAACTTGGCTCGTTTCAAGTCAAGATTGACGTTAGAAAACTGAGAAACGCAAAAATCTTGCAACTGGTGAATTAGAACGGATATCTTGACGCCCATCTTGTCTTCCGAGTCCTTTAGATTTTCGTATAAAAGGATTAAAGTAGCAGCCAAGCTTTCAGAGCCATAGAGCGCTGAAATATACATACTCAAATTAAAATGAACTTTCTTCAAATCAGTAATACTTACTTATGCTGTCATTTTGAGTGGGCATTTCCAGCACATATTTAACTAGTGTCTCGTAAATGTCCACTACATAGCGACTGTGAAGCTTATTGGTCATCAAAAGCGCATGAAGGCGGGGAATACTTTTGGCATACGCGTCCAATAGCTCCTTCTTTTCCGGCCCACTAGAGTTGGATTTATCTAACTGGTCCTTCAATTCAGATTGTTGATCAAGTAAAGCTCTCGCTGCTGTTGTGTGTATTTGAATATTGCCCGTTTCATCCACAGAACGCGATATATCGTTGTAAAGTCCATAGAGCTCAGCCTCGCTGAGAGTGTCGTCATTTAAAAAGTGATCTAGGCAATAGGTCTCCAAGCTCAAAAGCAGCTGCAAAAAAAACATATTCAAGTTTGCATAAAATATATTACATGAACATTTCTAGAGCTTACATCGACATCATTCTGCGCTACAGAGGCAAAATCGATCATACCATAAATACTGTAGAGTACAGGTCGAGTTTGACTTATCGAGGACTGGAGAAAAAGTGGCCAGCAGCGCAGGAATTTGTTGACTTGCTCACATGCTTCTGGCCACAAGTTGTACCCTTCCATATGCAATTCAAAGACAATGCTCGCAGATTGGGCGGCAATAACGCTCAATTCTAAGCTCTCATTTTTAGCAGTGAGAAGACTAGCGTAGAACTCGAATTCTTGCAATGCGGGAAAATGTCGGATAAGGGTCTTCAGATAGCGCCTGAGTTCATTTCGGAACTGCGCATAGGTAACATTTTTTCGTGGATTATTGTTAATCTTTATATAGGTCTCCAGAATTTGCTGTGCTATATCCCGATCTTGGTGCTTGCGCTGGGACATCGTGATATAAACCTCGGCTGCCAGAGAAGCCACTGACGGAAAAGAATTCTGCATTCGAAGGACGACCTGCAACAGGGCCTGATGGAAACGAATGGTAAAGCATTCTGTGCTTACAATATGTCTGTAAAAAGATTTTAGGTAATACACAAATATTGTAAGATTAGGCTCGAGCTATACCTTTGAAGGGTCATCAAATATTTTAGGGCGGACAAAAGCAAAGGTCTGGAATTGCTCGACGTTAATTTTTTAAATAGCACTAGATATTTTCCAGAGATCAACTCGTCGGTCAATGGCCGTAGATATAAGTTTTGACTTTGATCTTTAATCTTGGCAAACATGTTAATCATGGCCTCCAAAAATTCGTATGCCTGAATATAGCTTCCATCATTGGTCTCCTAGAAGTTAAGGTATTTAACATATGTAGTTGTTTTGTTTGCACTAAAGAACAATCTTACCACAAGGATAAGGATACCGTAAACAAAGTCCGAAGCGCATTTTTCGGGGCCAAAAAAAAGGGTGTAGTTCTCCTTGAACATATTCAGCATGGGTGGAACCACCTCTGGGCGGGTATCCTTGTGTCTGAACAAACATTTTAACATTTAAACGAAAGTTTGATTTAAAAGTTTTTAAATATAAATTAATGCAAGTATCTGGTTTCAATGACTATATGTATATAATTTAAAAATAATGATTTATTTCTGTGTATATTTCGCAATTTACTTACAATATAGCATAGCGAACGTTGATGGAAAGTGATAAGCAAACCTTCTTAAGTGACGGAACGTTTTCGCCATATTTTGGCAATAATTTGGCCAGTCCACCAAGGATGCTAAAGCCTAATGTAAATAGTGGATTAAAAAGATTTTACAAAATATGTAGACCTAAACCTACACATTCTGGACAGCGGTTCGTAGAAGAACCGATCCGGAGAAGAACCGCAGCCCAACTGTTCCATTGCGTCTAGCACGGCCTTGACCACCATGATCCACTTTATGATCAGACTGAGATAACATGGCAATGGCTGAAACGTTGTCCCATATCCTTCCTTAGCCACTTCATCCCCGAATTCGGCCAATATCCTGGGCAGCCGTTCAAAAAACAAGTCAACTTCTTTCATTAAAGATGGAAATGGATCATAGATATAGTTGGCGTTATCATTGCGGTATGGAAGATCCTGAGTCCTGCCAAAGGCCTCTACGCTCACATTGAAATTTAGGCCAAGAATGCGGAAGCACTGGCCCACAAATTTATGTGACACCTTTACAATCCAATTCTCCGGGTCCGAAGTCACGGCTTGCTTGAAGGCACAAGCATATTCCCCGGCTACCGACTAAATTTTGGCTTTAACCATCGAAAATTACAAACTCTTAGCCTATATACTCACATCCGAATTGCCTAAAGTCAAAAGGGCCGTAAAAAAATCCATTTTAGGCAGACAAATTCAGTTCAACACAAATTTTAAACTTTGTCCTGGCGTCTGCTGTGTTGGAAAACGCCAAAAAATCAATATGGCGGTGTTAAGTAAAGTAAAGTGCTAAGTAATAAGCACGATCAGTTTGACCAATCAATATCGATTGTTTTTTGGCGCCGTCAAAGTATGTATTTGAAAGCTAATAATTGCTGCTTTGACAGCCTTATAACCTTTAATAATGTGTAAATCAATTGAGATTTCCAACAAACAGTTTATCGAGTACATTTGTATACATGTAAATTCTGTATTAGTAACATCATTAGTAAGATTAATATTACTAAATGCATATATGTACTTAAATACGCCAAAAATTTAAATTCGACAAATAGGCTATAGAATAGCCAGTGTGATACAGGCACTTTAGTGACCCCTCTGTTTTTTGACTATGATCCTAAAGTTACGCCAGGTCTGGCACCAGATCTGATCTAAAAGTGATTAATGGCTGAAATCAAAAAGTGCCAGATCGAAACTAAATTTTTACGCTGGTATGGTAGCTCTAAACAAGTATATTGGTATGGTAACTTTCACATGTGTTTATAAATTTGGCGGTTATTGTTGTGACTCAAAAAAACATCAAAATAAATAATAAATACAAATTTGGCTCTTTTTTATTCAAATTGGCTCATTTTTCAACTTTTTTGGGCTCATTAAAAATTTATTGAAGTGGCCCGTGGCTAGAAGTCTAGTAACGATTGTCTTATTTTAGATTTTATGACTTCGGCGTGGGAGGAGTCAAAGAAAAAGGCTGGCGAAAGGCGCAGGAGGCCAGAAAAAAGCGGAAAAAAACTTGGGAACAAGACAGCATTTGGTTGCGACTTTTGGGTGGTAAATCAATTTGCTTATCTCGTTGGCACGCTCAAAACTGAGTTGAACCTCTGCAGCTGTCGTCTTCGCTGGCTCCATTTGCAAGCGGAGTCTTCATTTCCCCCACTTTCTTTCCCTTTCTCCAGCCCCTCCAGTTCCTCCAGCCAACCGTCCCTTTGTCTTTGTTTCTGGTGATAAGAAGAGTGCTCGGTGTGACCCTTCAGAAACGCGGCTTTAGCTTTTGCTCCGGACTCGGACTCGGACTCGGATTGTGTTGCTCTCTATAATCCAGTTTCGGTCTCTGTAGCTATAGCTTCGTAGCTGCTGCTGCCTGATAAGCGGCTGCAATATGGAGCGAGTGCACTGAACAAAAAACCAAGTTCCACAAAACCTTCTAGCTTCGGTCAAAGTACCCCCAGAAAAGCACGTACTTTCTTTGAAATCCTGGAAAGGACTGCCTTTCGAGTCGCGCTCAACTAGTCACTGCTTTCGAATTTTGTCCAAAAGTCGGTGCTTTTCTCGCGCAGTGCACCGGCGCTGACCCGCAGTCTCCGTTCATATTTCAGGCTTGTGTTTATGCAGCTTAACACTTTGAGCCCCCGCTTCCGTAACCCCATTTTTTCGTGGCCCGCAACCCGCCACCCGCAACCCGCCTGCCCATTTGGCGTTTGGTTTTCCCACAGTTGAAAAGGGAATCCGTTAAGCGGCTTACGCCGGCCGGCAGTCCATCCGTTCCAGAGACTCCTCGTCCGACTTTGCAAAGTTTATTAAACATAATTATGAAATTGAAAAGAGAGAGAGAGACGGCGCAGAGAGCTAGACCCGTCGGGTGAGCAAAGTGCCCATTAGCAGGCTCGCGGTGGTCCAGGTGAGAAGCAGAGATGAGGATGGGGATGATCCGGATCCGGACTCAGATTCGGACCCGCCTGCCACCAAGGGCAGGGCTCTCCGGTGCTGCTGCTTGTTGACCCTGTCGATGTGCGGCTGGCAGGAGGTCTCCCGCCTCACGTACCGGAACATCGACTCCACAATGTTGCTCGGCGTGATCACCTCGCACTTCTCCAGCAGGCTCACCGTGCAGGTCTCGAAATTGTACAGGTCGACGCACTGCTTGGGACCCAGGACCAGCTGCGGCAGGTTCCACTCCGTGCTGAAGTCCTTGGGCAGGTAGCCGCCAAAGTTGGTCTTCAGGCACTCGGCGATGCCGTCGCGACTCTGTTCCAGGCACTCGGGGCCTTGCTCCGCAATGAAGAGGGCGATCTGGTCCCCGTTCTTGTAGCAGATGAACTCAAGCAGCTTGTCCGCAATCCTCTGCAGCACCCCGTTGTGGACCTTCTCGTCCGGCGTGAGGCAGGGCAGGAAGGCGTCGTTCAGGTCCTTCAAACAGGCCTTGGCCTGCGGCATCCTGAGGCAGTACTTCTCGAACACCACGTCCAGGTCTCCCTTGGGACTGGCCTCGGCGATCTCAACCTTGATCTCGGTGATATTGGCCAAGCCGGAAAGGCATTCGTTGAACTTGAAAGCCGCCTGCTGGAGGGAGTGGCTTAGGGCGGAGGCATTAACCGATCCCGCCGGCAAATGCTCGTTGGCCTTTTGGCACTTCGACTCCAGGAGCTTCTCGAAGTCCTCCAGACTGACGTTGGTGTTCTGCAAGCCCTGCGGCAGGTAGTTATTCCTCAGCTGGTCCACATCCACATTTCCGAGCAGCGCGGGATCCAAGGAGCTGGGCAGGTCCAAAGATCCACGAACGGCGTGGATGGCCAGGAACAAAAACAGCGGAGAAAGCGACCAGCTCGACATTCTCGCAGCGACTGGCCAGAAAATCCAGGGAGCTGGAGCTCGTAGCTCGTAGCTTGAGAGTTCTAATCTACCCAGTGTAAGTGTGGGTACGGCGAACAGCCATTATCTGCCGATTAGCAGAGGGCAACGGGGTTCAATGCCTGAGATTACGGCGCCCACAAAGACCCTCCCGCCCATTTCGTGTTTTCGGTTATCAGACGGGGTAAACAACCAAAGAAACGGAATTGTGTATTATTCACCTATTCAAAGGCACTCAAAGAAAAGCCAAATAAAACCTAAAGGTAACAATATGATTCATAATAACTATACATTCAATCTAAATCAAAAATCTAACTGTGTATTTGTCACTAAGTTTTTCCTTGGAAATCTTTCAAGACCGATTTCGTTGGCCGAACCTTTTAGAGTTTTTCCAAGTGTTCGAAACATGCCATAAACGAACAAGTAACCCCAGACCTTTTCCCCTTGACAATCAGAAAATCGTTTTAATTAGGCCAAAGCTTTCAAACCGATTCGTACAGTTCGGTAGCTGGAAGTCGAGAACTTATCAAGCATTTTCTAAAGGTGTGTTTTCAGCATTTGGCTGCTGACCAAAGTGAGGGGGGCAGCCTGGCTGAAATCGTTTAAAACAGTTCGTTTAAAACAGTTCGACACACTGTTCATACACGTATTTGTGCTAATAATAAGCCCATCTGATGGCGTTTGTGTTTTCAATCTAAATTGGGTGATTAATAATTGCTTGAGGCTTAGGCAAATGATGGGAATGTAATCAAGCGCGATCGTGGACAAGGGGGGTATTATTCGTCTTTTAAAGGATTATTATTCAGCGGCACGTGACACATAAGCTCAACACCGCTCTTACCCAGAACACAAGTGCGGACGAGTAAAGGCGATTATTTAATATGGTCACCGTGATAACAATCCAACACAATGTACATTTTTTTTGATTGTCAGCCAATCTGATAGACTTAAAGGTTAAGGCATATTTGTTCTATATCAAATCTTTGCCTCTATCAATAAGAACCTTTTTGAAACCTGTAAACCTCCCACTGCACGAGGTAGAAAAAAGGGCAACACTTGCAGAGAGCGCAGCCAAAGAAAAACCCGACAACGGCTAAAAACAAGGGAAGGGAGCCAGCAAGAAAGTAACAATTTATCTTCGTTTGTTGCGGAAGTTGCAAGTGCAATAAACAACTTCGGAAGGGGGGAGGGGACGTGGCATAGGGTGAGCATAGGGTGCCTGGCACTGCAAATTTTCGGTTAAAAATAATACCGAAAATTGTAGCTAACGGAGCAAAAGTGGGCAAGGAGTGAGGTCGAAACTGAAACGCAGTGTAAATTGAAATGAAGCGCGTGGCAGGGATTCCTAAAAAATGGACGCAATTAATTGCCGCCCTCTGCTTTGCTTGTGGGCGTGGCAGAGGGCGTCCCACAGCCGGCAGAACGAAGGGGCGGGCAGCATTAGTTGGCTGCAATCAGCTGGCGTTTCTGAAATTTGAACAAGGTTGAGTCGCGATGCGCACGGATATATCTCAGATGTTTCAGGATAGAATAATTCATTAAAAAAACTTCCTTTTTTTATTAAAAAAAATTCAAAAATTTCAATACAATCAAAGGTATTGCTTATCATTTGCTGAAGAAACTAAATTGGTAATCCAAACTTAGGTTGTGCATCAATTTCTTGAAGACCATTTATTTGCTTGGTTATGCAAATACAGACTTTGATCTTTTATCAATTATGGTAGCAATTAATTAATCCTATTTTAGGGGCCAATTGTGGAATTTCGAATTGTGGTCCAGTAGATACGCAGAAGCAAAAATATGCGAAAAATGGGTGCGAAAGTGGGTAGCAAGCTGCAGCGGATGTTTGGCGACCAGCTCATTGCAGCTGCCAATAGAGGAGGGGTCAAAGGGCGCGGCAGGGGCGCCACATTAAGCGGAGGCCATTTGCCAATTGCTTTGCCAACGTTTCCGTTTCCGCCCCGCCGTTCGCCCATGTGTGTGTGATGCGTTTAGCGAATGATAATAAGGACGAGGCTGCTAATAAAGATATTATATTGCCGTGCACACAAACCCAAACGTAAACACATACAGTATATGCATTGTTTCATTTAGTGCCTGGATGCAGTCATGTGTGTTTCTGCTCCTCTTTAATGCAAATAATTCATTTCATATCAAGCGTTGCCGGCGCCACAAATTAAGGCCACTCTTTGCGAATCTTCGAGCAACTCCATATGGTTTCCCTGTCCTGGCAGCTTGAAGCCTTAAGCCAGGATCCAAGTGATGATGTGTGCCACTCGGCCTGCCCTTTGACCCGAAGTGAAGGAAACAGGTAATAATGGTGTAGGTGTACGACCACTTACGATATTGGATCGAATTAAGGGGAATTCAAATCCAATCATTGTTTCGTATGAATAAAACTAGAGAAAAGTATAATCGAAACATTTTTAAATTCAACTCTTACAAAAGCCAGCCGAATTTGAAGAGAGTTTTCCCCACAAAACTGGGGATAAATCGATTACTGCTGGAGGTGCGACAAAACTCTTAACCCTTCAACACCCCCACATAACCACTCGTCGTTGTTCGGGTGGCAGAAATCGAGTGCAAACCGCAAATATAAATGAGAAATGCAGCGAAATTCAGGTTCATCGACAACTAGACAAAACTTTTCTGCGTCGACAGTGGTGGGGTGAAACTTCAGCGTTCAGACCCCCTTAACCACTTTTGTGCTCCACAGGAGACAAACGACAAAACAGTGGCGAAAGAAATATAATAACTAAAACAAACCGCAAACAAAACTTTTGTCAGCCGCAGCATCCCAAAAAAGCAACCAAACATAATTCTATAATGGCATTTAGATTTTTGGGGAGGGAATCGAACGGTTGACGAGTGTGCGATTCTATATTTTTATATAAGAATATAGAATTTCAAATAGAATGTAGAATTTAGATTTCATCGCTTCGAATCCGCACGCTCAAGAAGCATTACTAAATATAAACTGATAACAACGGCAATAATTTAATAAACAAACTGTTTATAATTTAAATGATCCTTTATCTTCAAGTTGGATTCAAGCCGTAATAGAACGAAGGAAAGCTACTTTTCATCTTGTTGCGATAAGACTCACTGATAAGAGAAAATATATGAGAAGTGGAAAAGGTATCCTTTTCACTATTTTGTTGGTAATGCGAATTGGTTGACTGGCGGTTAGATAAAGTCAAATTATTCGTGCTCTGTTTGCTCGTGGGTTTGTTTTTCTTTTCCGGTGTTTGTTTGCTTTTACCTTGGTTCTTGGGCCCCTGAATTGGCAAAGGGAAACTCTTTCCTTTTTTTTTTTTTTTTTTGTTGAAACGCACACTTCGATTCACTTTTCTCCACATCCTTTCAAACACTCGAAGATTGACTGACAGTCGTTGTGCTATTTTTGTTGCCGTCGATATCCCGCACAGGAGTTGGAAAAAGAAATGCAGGGGATGTATTCATACACCCGTCGCGTGTGTCGATGATTTTTTGCCGAACTTTTCACTTTGATTCCGTTTGAATTTCCGCAGGTCCGCACAGCAGGCGCTTTTCACCACTTTTTTCCCTTGGTGCGGAATTCAATGAATTTGAGGAATATTTCTCAGCGTCTTTGACAAACAAAAAGTGTTGGATTCGTGGGAGGACGACGCAGAGTGACACACACGTGTTTGTATTGCAAATTCCTAGCCGAAATAACACCTTTCCAACTTTCTAATACCCTATAAAAAGGATTTTGCAGAAAACATGGCTGGACTAAAGCTCGGCTAAATTTATTTATAATAGAGGTAAGCTGCGTTTTCTTTTTTTTTTAATGGTAAACTTGTTGACACCATTGATTTATTCTCTTTAGGAATTTACCAGTAAACCATTAATTTTTCCCATGTGGTTGGATAGAGTGGATGAAAAGGGGCATGATGCCACGGTAGACTCGAATGTTTGCTCATGGAAAACGGGCGGGGCGGGCCCTCCCGCTCGCTCCCTACCACATCCCGCATCCCATCGCCACCCCCCTTTTCCACTTGGGGAGTTTATTAACGTTTGGTTCGGGGGCCCTGCCCGCCAACGTTTTCGACTCGATGACGGCAAACATTTACATTTTGCATTCAGCTTGTTGTCTTCGGCAGCTCGATTCCCGTACGCGGCTTAGGTAACGAGATTTGATATGCCTGCTCCTTGGTATTCTCGACCCCCTCCCTTCGTCTCCCCTTTTATCCTTGTAACACGATTTGTTGCAAGTCCAGTGTTAGATTTAAGCTCACACTCGACGTTAATATTTTAACTCGGTTTCCCATTTTCTCAATTAAAAATGCCCCTCAACTTTATAGTTGTTGATAACACCCAGGCTAGATATACAAAATAGGCTGAGAACTAACCTTTAGGTTTGCTTATGATGAATGTCCTAAGCGTTAGTATTCTTCTTTTTCTTCTTCTTTTCAATTTCTTCATAAATGAACGTATTTAGGTATTTTACGAATCACTGCACTGCATTGCAAAAGTCCATTGAAAATGTTATCTTCTTTTCGATCTGACTCTCTTGCCTCGCAATAACCAAGCTTAAAAACAAAAGCCAAAAAATAGAATATTGAAACACAATTTTGACTAATAAATCAAAATATAAAATTAATAACATTAAGTTTTTTCACCTTTGGTGGTTCCTGTTTTAGCTTTCATCTTGATAAAACCGAATACAAAGTTCAAAGTCCAAACCAGATGTATCTTATTTATAGTTTCCGGTTTTTTTTTAGCACAAGTCACGTTCATTATCATTGCCATAAACAAAGCCGCGATCAACCCATTGAGTTTTACTGCTTCTCATAGTCCGTCGATTCAGCTGATTTTAATTATAAATTTCTTGACAACCGCATTACTCCCCGTAACCGATTTGTTTGCACTTGTTAAGGGAAATGCACCTGCCCCCGGAGTCCCTAGCGAATCCCTTGTTGCAGTAGCATCCATCAGGACATCGGAAGTGGCGGACCAGGCAAGGTTTTCCGAGAGTGGCGCACTCCGTTTGGCAACTGGGACCGCAGGCCAGGAAAGTCTCGTTTTCCGGGCATTCCCGGGGCGCTGAAGATTTTAAAACTTATTAAACGGGGGAGTGTTCCGAAGAGGGCTTGGTACTCACTTATATGAATCTGCGCTGAGATTATCGAAACCAGGCAGCAACCGCCGATCAGCAGAACACACTTCCAGTGGAGCAACATCGTCGAAGCTTGGCCAACAAAAGCACACTAAATCGATGAGCTCACTGCTGGCCGGGTTTTATGCCAGACCTCCGAAAAGTTAAGGTATACTGTGCATATGCTCCGACTTAGAAGATCTCAGGAACGTAGGTAGTACAATTTGGTTTACATAATGTTTTGATATACATGAGCGACATAAACGTACAATCGTTGACCATAACCGGATAACAAATTAAACTGTCAAACTTCTATAAATCGTACGAAATATGTATGTATAGTGGAGTTTCAAGTATAGAAGTTTGGCATCACATAAATATTGATTACATTAAATCACAGCATTCAGGGCGTCATCTAGTCGACTTTGGAAATCAAAAAGACTGAGGGATTCACACTTCGCGGAAGTGAATCCCCCAGGCAATCTCATTGTTACTCTTGTCGGGGAACCAAACCGCTTGTTTACAAAAATACGTTGGTGCTTTATTTGATACAACTTGTGAACTAGGAAAAACTTTGAAATGTAGAAGTGGATGAGGGGTACCAGGTGGATCATCGGAGGGAGCTGCTGCGCCGGCGACGCTTGTGCCGCTTATGGCTCTTCTTGGTGGGCGAACGATGACGCGACTGCTGACGCCGATGTTCGGCATCTCTACTGCTGGAGTAGCTCCGCGATCTACTTCGCCGGATGCTTTTGGACAGGCTTTTGCTCTTGCTCCGTCTTCTCTTCTTGTGGCTTTTTCTACTCTGCGCGGGCTGCTGTGATTTTCTGGCCGGTAACGATGATGGCTCCCTTGAGGATTTACTGCTCTTCTGCCGCCGTCGGTGGGAAGATTCGCGACTGGAAGCACTGCTGGGACTGCTTTTGCTTCTGCCATTTCGACTGCGACTTCTGCTCCGGCGGTGGGGTTTGCAGTGGCGCGAGCTGGAGGATCGTGATGAGGATGTCGCCACTACCTGGACGTCGTCATCGTCGGAAAGGAGAACGGCAGCAGGAGGAGGTGGAGGAGGAGCCGCCGGAGGAAGCACTGGTTTGCTGGTGAAGGTGTTTGTGCTATCATCGTTTAGCAGATTGTACTTTTCCAAATCCCCTCCATCCTCATCATCATCGTCTTCATCCTCCTCGCCGTCCTCCTGCGTTCTCCTTGCATTTCTTACCTCAGGCTTCTGGTCTCCTTCTTCATCGTCGTCCGGGCCAAAGTAGGTGATTGGTATTGAGCGCACAGATTCGTTGGACTCATTGTCACTATCGGCGGACGCCGATTGAGAAGCTCCTGATGCAGGCTCAGGATTCACAGCAGCACCGGCCATCGTCGGACCCACAGTGGCACCCTCGCCTACAGAAAATGAATGAAACTAATTTCGAAAATAGACACAAAGTATGAAAGACCCACCTTTTATCTGATTTAAAAATGCCATTGCCTTGCGCTTTCGCTCCAATTGCAACTGCTTTTCCCGGGAAATCATTCCGTTCAGCTTATCACGGGCAATCTGTGCCAGTTTGTCCTTTACTCGTTCCTCAGCTGCAAGACGAACTATCAATATAAGGCAAGTTATAATGGTTACCAATCGATCTTACCTTGGCGCTGTTCTTTTTGTGGCGAAGAAGAGCAACTGCCGCCTGCCTTCTGGCCGCTCGTCCTGGCCAACAACTGTGTCTCCACCTGCTTAATGGCTCGCTGCACACTGTCTGGCATGCCAGGACGCACTTGTTCCGCACCGCCAACCGAACTGGCCTCCTCGTCGCTGGTCTCCTGCGGAAGAGTGGGTTGCAATGGACCATGCTCATCCCGAGCGCGAATGCAGAAACTTACAGGGGCTAAAAGAGAAGTGTTATCTAAATATGTACTGGCAAGGGTCCCGATTTGTAGACCTACCCTTGTCCAGAGGGTTCCCAGCCGCGGATGCTGCCGTCCCGCCAAAACTGAGACCCTTCTTTGACATCAAGGCGGCAGCTACGGCGGCCGCTTTGCGTGTCTTTTCCTCCTTCGAAGCCGCATCCACATCGCCAGTCACTTTGTACAGGTAGTACGCATAGAACTCGTTGGCCGGCATCAGGAAACTAAAACGATCCACGCTCTTCGTCCGCAGGGTCTCCTCGAACTGGCGCCCATTCTTAATTACGTACGTTGCCGTCTTATCTATTATGTGCCGGAGACTCTCCTCCGGAACGGGGAACGTCAGTACGGGTGTCTGCGAAGTAGACCAGCATAAAATATAACTGTATTTGTGCTCATGAATTTACCCACCTTTTCGGGCTCCTTCTCCGGCTGCACTTGCTCCTCCTCCTCGCTTTCGGAACTGTAGTTCTGTGCCAAGGCCAAAGCACTTGTGTTTTTCAGCAGCTCCACTTGCGGCGGCTCGCCACTATTGCCCTCGCTCACGTCCGGCTGCTCCTGGGGTGTCGTCTCCTCCTCGTGGGTGAAGGTACTTCCGTTGTACTGGAGCAGCACAGGCGTGAACTCCCCGCCTTGGCTGTTGTGACCTTCCGATCGGCAGCTGGGCGTCGGTGAGGCCGTGCCACCCGAGTGTTGGGAGTTTCCGCCAGGGTTACTGGACTCATCCTCCAGCAGGACCGCTTGCAGGGGCACACCCTTGATCTTGCTGATCAACTGGGTGTAAGCGCAGTTGGCCGAGGGTTTGTACTTAATGGTGGGCACAGTGATGACAACATGGCTCGGGTTCCTCCTCTCCCCCCGCCATCCTCGTGAAAGTCAGTTGAATGTGAATCTGCGTCGGGATTCTGCTGATCCAGCGAACTCTCAGGAGCGGGCGGAAACTTGGCCGCCTTGATTGCGGCTAAGAGATGGCGGTAGTAGGGCTGCAACTGACCACCCTGGGTTAGGAAGTCGAACTGAGCGTTGTTGGCCTGTTTCGCCTTAATCAGGATCTCCATCTGGGCGCCCTGGGTGGAAATGAAGCGAGCCGTCTTCTCGATGATGGCGTGCTGCTTCATCGTCTCTGGCTGCAATTTAAGTATGTACTTCTGGTTAATCGCTCCGACTGAAACCTAAATTTGCACTCACCAGTTGCATTCCCAGTGGAGGTGCCATCATCAGGGTGTTCGGTAGAACGAAGGGCAGCTCGCTTTCCTCGGAGGCCGGGGAAAGTTGGGAGGGCGCCATGGAAGACCCGCTAAGGGAAGCCGAGGCCGACGATTGGCCATCGTACTGGAAGCCCACCTGGCTATAGTTGCCGCCGGAGGTCTCCTGTTGCAGCCGCTTGAGGTCCTCCTCTGTAGGATCCGCGCGGTTGGGCCAAAATAAGAGTAGAGAACACAAAAAATGGCGCGACTTTAGTATAGGCTGAGAAGTAAGGCCATTAACTAATTCGAGTCAGAGCGAGAAAAACGTATTCGAGGTGAGGCGAACGCACGAGAGAGACAGAGATCAATGAAGAGATACATAGGTAAGTAGGGGCTATTTGGTTTCACTGGGAATTTTCCGTGGGTTGTTTTTTATCCTGATTACACACACAAGAAGCTGGACGCTCCAGAAAGTTAACCTGAAATAAACGATTTAATCTGTCAGGTGGTGAGGATTGCGTATTTACCTGCTCCAAAAAGGACTCTCTCTGGAAATATCTAGGGTGATGTCGGTGTTTTCTTTATCGATGGTTGGTTTTGGTTTTTTCATATTAATTGGAATCAATTTGGTTCGATTTGCTTTTTCGGAACTGATCGTTTCTTGATACTTGTAGTACTTGTAATACAATTCACAATTTGAGGATTTTAAGACTAGAGGTGTCGACATAGTCAATCAAGATATAAAAATGTTGGAAAACTGATTAAACGTAAAATAAAATTGTAAACCCTTTCCGATTATATTGAAAAATTTCCCATTTAAAATAAATTAAATCTATATTATAAAAGAAAACATAAGCTGATAATTGACTTCTCTGAAAAGAGGTTTAGAACTTTACACTTTTTTTTTTTGCTAAACATAGCTTATTTAAAAACTATGAGTATTTCTTCAAATTTTTATAAAAAAAAATGCAGCCCTGTCTTTTGCAAAGGTGTAGGAATCTGCAGTTAGATGTTATATGGCGTTTTCCAGAAATCTATTCCAACCATAGCTGTCCATAGCTGTATAAGATTTCGGGAACCCTCCCATATAACATCTCCTGTACTCTAAAGCCTAGATGGAATATATCGACACCCCTGCCGGATCGTGAGATCTGGATCTGGTAGTACCAGTTAATCATGCCACTCACCTTGTTGCAGTCGCAACTCCTCCTCGTTGTTGTAGAGGAATAGGTAGCGTTCTTCCTCGCAAAGTTGCTCGGCACGCTGTTCCTCGGCGCTCAAGTATTCCAATCTATTGCCATATCCACCTGGTGGCGCCTCGTGGGGCGTCAGATCGCAGAGGGCGCCTCGGACATCGTATCTGGGGTTCAAAGGTCGCAGTATTCACGGTATTTATGGAGCCGAAAGAGAGCAAGCAGAGAAATATAAACAGAGAGGAGAGAAAGGAGCATTATCAGTAAGGAAGACCATTTCAGAGGTTGCGCAAACGGGGCGGGCGAAACAAACTGAGGGCCAGCTTTTTAAGAATCTTTCAGCCCTTAACAATCCCCATTTGCTTCGTACACACTTGCGCAGTTACACAATAATCATAGTCATACGGTTTATAATATACATATATATATATGGATATGTATATATATATATATAAATATACATATATAGTTATATATATATAATGCAGTTTCAGATTAGATTAAGATTTAAGGCTAGAGATCGTTCATATACATACCGCTCCAGTGGCTAAAAAGTTAATCGGTTTACGTTTAAAATGGTCAAAAAATTACAGTTTTCAAATTGTATATGGATAGAGAGTACAGTTCGAGAAGCACTGAAAAGAGCTGTTATTACAATGGCTTGTGTGTGTTGATTATGTGGGTGTAAAGTGTGTGTGTCCGCAGTTTTGTCAAATGTCCTCTATTAGTACAGTTGCAGCCAAAATACTAATGCAATTGGGTTGATAGTAAAAACTACCAAAAAGAAAATGGCTTTTGAAATTTTGATAGTCCAAGATCCTTAGTCCCTTCTATTATGCTAATGATTTAATGCAGCAAAATTAATCAGTGTTTGCTAAGAATTTAATACACGAGAAATGATAATGGAAACACAGTCGCATTAATAATTTTAGTAAATTTTAAAACAACGAAATTCTGAAACGAGCTTTTCAAGGAAGCTAGTATTTTGACTGACCCTGTGTAGGTTAGTGTAGGTCGTAACGGGACACAAAATGGGCATGTAGTTGTGTTTGTATGTGTTACAGTTGTGTGCGTACAGATTATTCGAATAAATATTGCTTGGGTTAGTCCCAACTATTAACCTGTCTATCTTGAGATTTACATCGCCCATCCAGGGAATTAGCTGCTTGCCGTGGTCCATTTCACGGGCCTTCTCGTCGTCCCGAAAAATCTTGCAGGCGTAACCAAAAACGAGGAGTTCCAACGGTGTTTGTCGATGGTTTTCCACATTCGTGACGGATCCTCCGACCCCTGTCACTCCAGAACTAATTCCATTTCCCAGAACCGTAGATCCGGGTCCGGATAATTGACCCGTACGGCGAAGAATCCCGCCAACGCTTCCGCCACCGGCGCTTCGCACATTGTAAGGCATCATCGTGGGTGGATTAACAGAACCAGGATCCAACTTAAGTGTTCAGGACTCCACTCACTCTCTCTCGTTCGCTCTCTCAATCGCTTTTTCTTACGCGGTTCAATCACTTTCTTTTGAATTCAAAAACTAGGCTCCTGGCCTAGTAGGTTGCATTTTACGACCGGAATTTTATCAATTTCTTTTTATTACATTTTTATTTTGCGTGTGAAATGAAATTAGAGACGGGCATTAACTGATATTTACTCGATACTATCGATATTACCACATATTTAGCAAAAACGATGTTTTCCAGCCTGAAAAATACCACAAAAAATACTAAACGCAGTTTGAAAAAAACCGTAAGCGGAAAAGTTTAAATTACCCAAATTAAACATATTTCTAAAATCTATTAGTCGTCAGATTGCTATTTAATGGTATATATCTTTATTTTCACCCAAAATTATTATGTAATATTTAATAATATTTAGTGTCCCACAAATTTGAAGACATACTATATATGACCCATATATTACCATAAGCATAGTTGGTCCTCTGCCACTACCAAATTTAAATCATCGCCTAATCTTTAGCATTAGGGAACTTCAGAGTTCTCAGTTTGGAGTAGATAATGTCCCAGTCGACGTAGGCACCTACTAAATGGCGTTTGTTTCCTGGTGCGTCCTCGTAGGCCGTTCTTCCATGCAACATTCGAAGGTTATTGAACACGAAAACTTCGCCGGCATTAGTCTTGAATTCTACCGCCTCGGCTTGGGCCATTTCCACAAATTTATAGTAAGCCTTGTACCAGGCCACAGCCTGCTCCAAGGAAACTGAAAAGCGGCTGTCTCGCTTGGGGTGGTTGTGGTTGATCCGTGCGAACTTGCCATCCACATCCAAACAAATCACCGGGGCTCTCCAGAGGCTATGGAAGGGCTTAGAGCTATCGCCGTAGTGCCCAATATCGAACCAATTTACGGGCACAGATTTGAGAACCTCAAAGTCTTCTGGGTGTTGTTTTTGCAGCTTAGAGGCCACATAAAACCCATCCGTGAGAGTATTGGCACCTCCTTTAGATTCCGACTGGACAAGGGTGTGCAGGATATTGATCCCGGCCATGTATTCGTAGTAAGGCAAGTCCGTGTGGAGTGGCAGGGGAGTCATCAAATAGGCGTAGTTTTCCGCATTTGGTTTGGATTTCACCTCGAAAACGTCGCTAGAGAACGGTGTAATGAGAATATTAAAGATAAAGCTTAACCAGTTTGCGAGATCAATTTGGGTTTCTAGTGTTATCTGGCTCATTCATTTTCTCGCTTTTGGTTTGGAATTTGCGTTCCAAAGTTGAATTATTGAAAAATAGCTGATAATTGCGCACCTGGCTGGAAACCAGAAGACAAACAAATATTGCCTGATTCCAATTAAATTAATCAGCCGATAGTGTTAAAAGTTTGTAGATTGGTAGATAACAACCAAGACCTCTTGAAACTTTGATTGCTTTCGTTAATAATGTAATTACCCGTAGGTGGTGCGTTTAATAAAGCCAATCCTTTTCGCCAAGTGCTTGGCAACATTAATGTCGTCGGGAGCTCCTTTCAGAATAGCGAATCCCTGGACTGCAAGTGTCTGCAGCCAATCCTTGAGTACTGAATCCTGCTGAAGCACATCCTGGTATTGAAACTCTTTTCTTACAGAATCAAACTCTGACTTTCCCCAAAGTTGTGGACTAGGTCTGTAAACCTCCTCTAAGTATCGTTTTCTGGCAGTCTCTCCGAAGTCCCTCTCCCTTAACCAGGCAATGTCAAAGGAGCTCCTGTGTTTATCCTGCCAGATAATGTCCAACTGCTTTTGGTCCCGGTTGTAAGTCACTTGGGACACCTCCATATTGATGGGTCCACGCTCCCAGTGACTTTTTTTGGCTCTTGTGGCGGCGTGGAAGCATTCGCTACATTGACAGTTCTCTCTTAACCAAACTTGTGGGTACTTCAATGGATGGTTCGCCCCCTCCTGGACTTCCACGCATCCAGAGGCTGTCATACGAGCTAAGGTGCTCGCTTTCCGGAGGAATACCAGCCGGGAAATAAGTTGTCTACAGCTCAGCATTCCGAGTTCAACTGCCGGATTACCACGCGATAAAATAAGAGCGACAAACCGGCTGATAAGGCAAGCCTCAGCTTATCGCTGACCGCTTTCTCTAGGGAGAGACACCACTTGCACCACGGATTGCGTCTGCTCCAGCCAACACTCTCTGTTTTGAGTGTCCGCCATAAAGCTTCGTCGGTTCCTACAAAGTGAGCACTCCAAAAACACAGACACTTTTTCTGCGATTTCTGGCTGGGACTTTAACGCTTCCTCTGCAATCTGCTTTTCTTCTCTCTTTTTGGGCTTCTTGCGGTGTCTGCGATGACGCTTCTTTTTGGTTTTTACTTCGTCGCTTGTAGGAGCCTCTGGAAGTGTAACTTCCTTCCGTTTTCTGTCCACCTGGAGCTCAGTATTCACACCGGGAATAAGAGGATGCGAACAGCGTCTGCACAGGGACCGCTTTAGGGCAGGAGCTCTTGAAATATAGATTCAAGCTAGACTTAGGGTCTTATATTTTCCAAGAAAGTTTACTTACATGTGCATCACGGCTTTGGTGCCCACATTACGACAAAGTTTTCCGTAGTAGGCAGCAAGTTTGCTTTGATGGCCCTCGGCCATTAAATTCGACGCTTGGAAAAGGAAGTTCATTCGCGAGGAGATGTGCCGCTGGGCTAGCAGCTTTTTTGAGTTGCCTTTTGTCATATTGTCACTCAATATTTTTATTTATATTTTACACAAGCCTCCTTTTAATACACATGGAAGCGTCGCAGAGTGACCGTTTCTGGCGCGCCAAAATATATTGCATTAACAGTCATACAAGCACAAAAATACTAAATATTTTACGGTTCGAGGCGATTTATTTGAAATCTAAATCTTAACTTATTTCAACACAAAAAATTGTTAAAAAAGAGAAGCCGATTGTAAGCAATATAAATTCTGTGATTAAAAATAAGACCAAATGACTCTTTCAACTGAATGGCAAACTCTAAAAGCATTTTCCAAACGCGCTCAGCTGGTCACATAGAAACAGCCAGCTGTTTCCCGCGTTTTTGATTCGCGAAAATTGCAATCAGCGAAAGTGCAGCCCAGAAAGCAGAAGAGAGTGGAAGCCTGAAAGAATCTGCAAAATGCAACGGGTTTTGGTCACATAGAACTTCCAATCCGTTGACCACAATCAACTGAGAACAGTCAGAAATACAATCGACCGCCAACATTATTGTTTTTGCTTAAAGAATTTGGATTCTCGATAGGATTCACCATGTTTGTCCAGGATTTGCGGAACGATTTCTACCGCCAGCTAGTGGGCAAGCGCATCCTGATCGTCGTGAACTATGACATCGATGCCATCTGCGCCAGTCGCATCCTGCAGGCTCTGTTCAAGTACGACCACATGCTTTACACGGTGGTGCCCATAATGGGCGTCACGGGTCTGAAAAGGGCCTATAGCGAGCACCAGGGCGACGTGAAGTACGTGGTGCTGGTCAACTGCGGCGGCTGCGTGGATATTGTGGAGCTGCTGCAGCCGGCGGAAGATGTGACCTTCTTCATCTGCGATTCGCATCGTCCGTTCGATGTGTGCAACATATACAGCGATCGGCAGGTGTGCATCTTGGGGGATGCCTCCTTGGAGGAGAACATTCCAGCATTTGAGACCATTTTCTATGACTCTGATGGGGAGGAGGACGAGGAGGAGGGCGAATCCTCCGACCAGGAGCAGCAAAACAACGACAGTGGCGCCGGGGAATCAGATCAGGAAGATCAGGCTCCTCAGAGGACAAAACTCAGCCGCCTGGAGCAGCACGAGCAGCGCGTCTTGAAGCAGCGAGCCCGCCGACAATGGGAATCGGAGCGTGACCGGATCATGTTCGAGTACACCCAGTTTAGCTACTATGGCCGATCCGCTGCCCTGTTGGTTTTTGAGCTGGCCTGGAAACTCTCAAAGGATAACATGGACCTGCTCTGGTGGGCTATCGTAGGAATTACAGAGCAGCTGTTGCTGGGAAAGATCGAGAGCGGGTCATACACTCTGGAACTGGAGCAGATCCAGTCGCATGTGTCGCGGTTAACAAACAAAACTAATGACCAGAACACAATGAGTGCTTCCAAGATCAGCTTTGAGAATGATTTGCATCTGGTTTTATATCGGCATTGGCCCGTTACGGAATCCATGAGGTGAGTACGGAAAAACTCGAAAATACTTTCTCATCTAATCACGGTAATCCATGACAGGTATTCACGCTATGCTTCGTGTCAGTTGAAACTGTGGACGCTGCGTGGGGAGAAGAGACTGCACGAACTGCTGCTCGAGATGGGATTGCCTCTAGTTCATGCCCGCCAAACGTACGGAGCCATGGATTTAGTTCTTCGGAAGGAGTTCTATTCGATGGTTGAGCGGCTAGCGGAAAAGTACGACATACCCGACATTGTCTACGGAACCTTCACCCTGAGCTACGGTTACCGCAGCAGATATGCGGCGGCCGACTACGTATACGCCCTGCTGGCCATCATGGAGTCGGTGAAGAAGCACAAGACGCCAGAGGATTGCTTTCTGGAGGCATCCGACGCATTGAGTCGCCAGCACAAGCAGCTGTTGTCCGCGGGAATCGACCAGGCGAAGCTCCTGCACGCCGCTGTTTTCCGGCAGGTGCAGAGCAGCCTGGAGGCGCGTCAGGTGCACTCAGCCGGATCCTTTTTCTACTTTGTGTTGCAGGAGGAGCACGCCTTCTTCTCCTATCCGTATGCCCTGGGGCTGCTGGCCCGCTTCCTTCTGCGTGGCCATGTGGCGACGAGTAGGGCCCGGCAGGCGCCGGACTTGCCGCTGATCGCAAGCTGTCCTTTGGATGCGGCGCAGGGCATGTGCCTGCTCGTCGGTATCGCCCCCGTTAGGGAGGATTCGCCGCGCAATTTCTTTGGCAAGGCTTTTGAGCAAGCGGCGCAAAAGAGCGGGGTGGCTCTTCTCCAAGACTTCTTTGAGCCTGCGGTGGTGCAATTGCGGCAGAGTGACCTCACCCGCTTCCTGGACGCCCTCACAGTGCTCCTTACCTGATCCACACTTCTTTCTGCCTGCTATTCAAATCCCTGCTCAGACGATATTATGTTTTAGGCTAACTATTTAGAGAACCCTACTTTGTACCCTTAGGTTAAGATTTTATGCGAAACCTATTTATGTGCGTCTATATTGTGACTTCGAAACTGCACACAGGACAAGAATATAGATTAAGTAATGCCCTTTTTTTTCTAACAATTATTGTAAACCTGACTTAGAATAAATTGTGTGTTTAAAGTGTTTACCAGCAAATTTTACAAGTTATTGTGAGACTTTAAGTGCAGATATGACAAGGACTTAAAATTGCTTAAAAGGTTTGGCTTTGTACATTTATTTAGAAAGTAATCACGCAGGTATTCTATTTCGTATCGATTTGTGCCATAAATTCCAATCATCAGCTTACTAGTTTTCGAATTTTAGAGTGCTGTGCCTCTAGGCATTCTTTAATAGGATCGGCGCTGAAAATGCGTGCTGAACCCAAACAAGCACTGTCATCATAAAACACAGCGTACTGTCCGGGCGTAATTGCTCTCAATGGAGCATCCAACTGGACTTGGAAGCGGTTTTCCGGGCAGATCCTTAGGTGGCAGTCCACCAAGGGTTTGGTGTGCTGAAAACGGAAGCGGCATCGCAAGTTGCCGGTGTCCAAAAGCTTCTTTTGGGACTTCGAGCAAAGCCAGTTTGGTGAATCGACATGAATCTGAGTGCTTAGCAGGGAGGGATGATTGTGGCCAGACGCCACAAAGATAGTATTGCTGAAGGCCTCTTTTCTAGCCACAAAGTAGGGCTGCAGGAAGGAATTTAGCCGGCAGCGCTGACCCACAGTCCACTGGTGGATGCCAGTATGTTCGCCAACGACAGTACCAGTGTCAATGTCCACAAAGTGTCCCTTTTTGGAGGTGATGTACTGCAATGATAGGGTTTGTTCCATTACACTTTTTAGCGATTTTTAGCTTAATCGAACTCCGTGGTCAGTACTTTGCATAAAAGAAAACCGCTTCTTTGATTGATTGGAAAACGTGTAGGACTTTGTTTACCTCCTGTATAAACTCCTTAAAATTGCGCTTGCCCACAAAACAGATGCCCGTACTCTCCTTCTTGGCGGCCAATCGTTGAAGTCCGATCTTGGTGGCCAATTCCTTGACCTGACTCTTTTGTAGTTCCCCCAAAGGGAACATAGTTCGTTGCAGGGCTTTTCGCGGTATTCCCGCCAAGAAAAAAGTCTGATCCTTGAATGTATCGGCTGGTATGAGCAGGCGGGCTTCCTTTCCTGAGGAAAGCCCCTCCAGAAAATTGCCTAAGCTGTTACGGGCATAGTGACCAGTCGCAACGGCATCGTAACCCAGATTCTCCAAAGCGTGCTTATGGAAAAGGTCGAACTTGATGTGCCGATTGCACAGGATATCCGGGTTTGGAGTCATTCCTTGTTGGTAGTCGTCCAGGAATTGGGTAAATACCGCCGACCAGTACTCCCGCACATAGTTCACCTGGGTCAGGTCCACACCCAGCCGACGACACGCCCACTCCGCGTCCTTCAGATCCGCCTCCCCGCTGCAGCGACCCACTTCGTCCATTTCGTCCCAGTTTCGCATAAAGACTCCCAGGACATTGAATCCTCTTTCCCGCAACAGATGGGCGGTTACGGCGCTGTCTACTCCGCCAGACACGCCCACCACTACGTTGCGGATCATCTTGTGTAGTTACACTATTATTTTTAACCGGGTTTAAACTTTAACAGCTGGCATCCCGATTTATGGGCAGAAACAGCTGACTGGCCAGATAATGTGGCCTTATTCTATGTAATCTAAAAAGATCTATATTTTATATATTTAACGCATTTTAGCCAAGACTCGAGCCGATGTCTAAGGTTTGAGAAGAGGCTTAATTTGGGCAAATTTAGGGGAAACTGGGCCTTAGTATTTTGGGGAATTCAAGATTGGTAGCAAGGTTTTTGGGGGAAAGCCATTTCACCTTCTGCAAAAGCTAGTTTTTTTGCCGATTTTGCCGCGTCTGGTTCCAAATTGCGGAAAATTCGGAGGCCTACGCGAACCAGCACGTCTGGCTTAGTGCGAGTCTCGTACTGTTACCTTAACTGGATTGCGAATTCGCGTGAAAGTCACAAAAAGTAAATAAGCAGTTATTTTTTTCGAGTGAATGGGAGTGTGTCGTGTTTGGCAGAGGCGTCATTCTTGTTGCACATTGCGCTCTCTGTCCGTTGTGTAGCCGCCTCTGGTTCTGGGACTTATTTGGCTTGGTTGGGTTGTTCGGAATACCTGAGTTTCCATTCCCAAGCGCTTTGATCTCTGCAGATCCCTGATTTCTTCAGGGGAAGGCCCTTATCTGCAAACTGCGATTGTGCCAAATTAAAATCTCCCTTATGTATGTATGTATGCTTTTTCAAGTTCTAACTATCCTATTTATAAGAACGAAACAGAATTTGTTCCTGGCAAAGGTGAGGAAATGCTTTTAAAATACATATTCTTAAAGGATCGAAACATAATAGAAAAAAACATTCCTAGCCGCATTTTTGTATTTCCAAGACCACAATTTCTTAAATGTAATTGAAAAAGTTCAACTTAATCCGACATACTAAAAAGATTAATCCAAAAGTTGTTTAGAAGGCTCAACGAAGATAAGGCAACTTTTTATTTATCCTAAGGAACTGGAACTCAACAACTAAGCGGCAATTAAGGACTTTCTTTTATTACAGCATAATCAAGAGAAAAAACTTTAATAACTTTTATACATTAGGCTGGCTTTTGTAGATTTAAAAAAATGCTGTTTAATTTTTATTCTAGTACTATGTGTTTGTTCCTTTTTATATTCCTCCGATTTTTTATTAAGTATTTTACTGATTTTTCTATGCCCAGTATTTTTTCGACTCCATGTTATGTACATATTCAGATATTCATTTAATCCAGCTGAAATATTAGAGCTTCAAGTGCGCCCCGCCTATTACCCAGAAAATAAAAATTACATCGTTGTTTTTTCTGAGTAACGGTTATCGCACTCTAATCAATTAGAGATATTGGCAAGTTTTATTAAATAAAAAGTTGCCGCTCTCCTCAACCACACGTCGTTGCCCTTTAATCCCGGCTAAGAATAAAAAAAAGGGCACAATTATCCCGGTTTTTAGGTGCAGAGGGTGAGAGGCTAATTAAAAATCACGTCAAATACAATCAGAAAAGTGAAAGAGGGCCAAGCCCAGGAGCAGGGTCAGAATTGTTTAGTTTGGGGGGTCCGATCGAAATTTGGTTTATTTTATATGGTTGAAACACCGCGTGCTGTAAGGGGTTTAAGGGTGGGCGGACACCCGGAATCGTCTCTGGATTCTAGATATGTACTTTAGTCCTTGTCCTACCCCAACCACGTACTTTTTGAGCCCACGTTGGGCTCAGCTGTCAGTTTATCAAAATGTGTAGCATACTTTTTGGGGTCGCCTGCTACTCGAGGAGAGCAAGGATGGACTGGGAACGATGGGGCAAAAGTATAGAAGGAAATGAGACCAAGCCATTTGTCAGAGGGCTTATATAATTTGGAGTGCAGCCATGTTGTCGCCAAAGCTAAGCGATTAAGTGGAGGAGGTGGGTGAGTGCAATTGCATCCAAACGGAAGCAATTAGAGAAATGGCGGAGCCATTCGAGAGTTGTCACCGGAACGGAAATAGTTTTCCTGCTCGAAAGCAATTACACAGAGAGGTAAACAAATAACACGCACAAATCATTAATCAAGCGGGGCAAAAATGACAAATTATTGGATTGAGGCAAAAAACTATTACCGGATATATATGGAGGCAGAAAAATGTGGGAATTTTCTCAATTTTCCTGCGGGGCTGCTGCATCTTTGAGCGAATGCGCTCAATTTAAATTCCGACAACCCCCGCTCCAGGACCCAATAGCCACACCACAAGCTTAGCTGAAGTTGAAATTTTTTCCCCCACCCCCGCCGCTTTTTCCGGCTTCCCGCTTCTGTACTTTTCCTTTTTCTTGACTTCTTCCGCGTTTACTTTACGCGTTAGAAACAAAAACAAAATTACTCCTAAATTACTTGTGAAGTATGGCGGGTCCTCAAGATTGCTCTGCATACCCAAACAAAAAAAGAACCATTGGGGAACTCCCGAAATACGTGGCTTCTTCTTTTCATCAGAGTTTCCTGATGAGTTCTTACCCTCGAGCGTTTTCTATGAAAAGCTAAAGAAGAGGTACACTTCGGATTTTGTTCAGCTTTTTAACAAGTTAAGTGATTAGGGAAATATCACCTAAGTATATATTTAAAACACTAAAATACTGCCTTCGGCTCGTAGCTTTTTTGCCAGTGTAAGATACACACACACTAATGCAGGTTGCCCTGGAAAATGCAATTTAAATCATAAAATATAATTTTCATGTAATGAATTGGATCATGTTACGAGTTGTCAGGCCAGTTGCTCATGTGTGTGTGCTGTCTCTTTGTGTGTGTGTGTGTGTGTGTGTGTGTGTGTGTGTGAGTGCCATGCACATATACGAGCAAAGACACATACATGAATTTGTGGCATATTTTACTTGAATGAATCGCAAGGCAGCAAAGTGGAAGAATTTCCAGTTTGCGAAAATCTTTTGGTGCGAAAAAGTTTTCCGTTGCAGCAGAAGAAACTTTTGCCCTTCATCTTAATGCCACGCATCCGGTTTTTCGCCATCCACCCCACTCCCGTTATCAACTTGATTGAGTCGAAAGCATCTCTCGGCTTTTGGCCAAAGAATTCCGGTATGAAGTTGGGAAAATCGGACAAAAAAAACAGCAAAGATTGAGCGCAAGGACGTGGGTCGGCACTGTTAAAAAGTGATAGGTCTTAAAGTTAATCTGAGGAAGTGCCATTTAATGTTTTGTGTTTAAAAAACCCGAACCATTATCCCCATTCAAGGTCTCCACCTATAGAATAAACCTATGTCTTTAAATTGTATTTTCTATAAACGATCCTTTAAAGCAAAAGCTCGCTTCTTTTCTTTTTAAAACGATTCCATTTCTGGTGTTGTATGGGTTTTTTTGCTTGGCGCTCTATTGGTTTTTGAGCATCTTTATCCAGGGTTGCTCTAATCCCGGCAAGGCGACATTGGCCCACTTGTGGGTTATGCAATAAGCTGTTACCCATTTCCTGTCCCGGTGTTCAGGTGAACGGCTTCCGAGTGGAGGACTTAAAAATTGCACCACAATGGGCGCTTGATGGTGGCCTTGCTTGTCCTTATTCATGTACACCAACCTCCTCACCAACCTCCTCCACAGGCCGCGCACCTTCTCTTCTCCCCTCCACTCCCCACAAGGTCCCGCCACGTTTCATGTTGTTCTTTTGGGGGCTGCATTGTTTGGGAAACTGGCAACAATAACCGTCGGCGACAAAAAAATGCAGAGGGAGGAACACAGAAGCAGAGAAAACACGACGAAAACAGACACATAAAAACTTATTTTTCGGCAAAGTGTAATCCAAGTGGTTACCCCTAAAAAGCGGGGGAAAAGTAGATGGAGGAGTTTTATCTCATGGCAATGGCCAACCAGAGGTCTTAAAATGGCTAACAATGAATGAAAACCCATCCTTCCTTAATTAGCTGGACTAGAGGAGTCGAGTTCTTGTTCTGCCAGAATTAGGTTTTTTGTAAACCATTTAAAGTTAAATTTTATTCTAAAGTATCATATGGTTTTATCATTCTTCTTAAAAGACAGATGCCCGATCTTTTATGGGCTAACATTGTTTTTTTTTAACATAATTACCTTAGGAGTATAAATTGGAATCTTTATTTTTGTTTTGCTGCATAAGCAAAATATTGACTTCACACACTTTCCAATTTTGGTGATGCCCCTAATGCCCAGACCCAAGATTCCAGCCGCAATGTTTATCCATCGAAAATCCCATCATCTTCGCATCGTTCTTAATTTTGAGGAGGGCACAAATTAATTGGCCTGGCGTCGTTGAGGTCGAAGTTGTTGATGTGAAAGTGGATTGTCGATGGCTTCCTTATGACCCGTTTTCCCAATTTCCCATTTTCCCGTTTTCCCGACGCCCCAGTGTGTCAGTGGGTGTCAGGTGTTGCGCAGTTAGGGTGTTTCATCATCCGAAGTCAAGTCGGGCGAAAGTCAAGTCAGAAGTTGTCAGCCATTTGGCGTGGAAATGGAAATCTCATGTTTATAATTTATGAGGGGAAGACGAGAAAGACAAAAGGCCACGTCGAGTGACTGCACTTGAGGATTGCGAGATTTGCATGCAAAAGGAGGACCGCTTGACATGTCGGCTCGGTTGCTCACCTGTTCGCATGAATAATGGAGGCCCGACAGTGACAGTGTTTAAGTAGGCTTAAAGTGTTGCATGTGCCAAAAATATGAAAAATAGGAAATAAAATATGGTAACAAGAAATAAGGAAATCGTAAGCATTAATTATTAGCACTACAACAAACCTATAATGATGTTGGGAAAGCAACATCATTATGTTATCTTAGATAACAGGCTCTTTCCTGCTTAAATAATATTTTGGATGCAAACTGAACTCGGGTATCTCGGCTGAACGACATGGCGTCTCTGTGGCACTCAGGTTAAACCTCTAAAAACTCAATTTCCAGAAATATATCCCATCTGAGTTGGGGGAGTTGTTATAATTTTTCTCGCCTGCTCGCCTCCCTTTTAGAACTGTCACACCGATTACGGGCTTCAACTGACACTCATCCCTTGGTTAACTTTCTGTGCGCTCGAACACATCAAAATTTGTTGATATTAAAGTCAGCCGCACAGGCAAGCGGCATACGCTTGAAAAGGACTCATCGACGACTTGTTGGGGAAAAGCCAGAAAAGCCACTTTGCCAAAAAAGTAAACCTTTGAATATGTAAACGCAATAAATAGCAAGTTGCGAGCAGAGAAGATAATAAAAGCCATGCAAATGTGCGCGATGAATACGTAAAGTAGATGAAGCAAACGAAATGTAAATTTCGTTCGGGAAAAGGGGAAAATATGGGCACTGCAGGGTTAAGCGTCGAGGCCGGTGACGTAGCAAGAAAAACGCACAGAATAAAGGGCTTAGGTCTATTCAAAGTGCGAACCAACAAAGGAGGGCCACTCAGTAAAAGCAACAGCCACTGTACAACCAAGAAAACATAGGACAAGATCGGGGAATAAACAACTAAATTGCGAAAAGCAAGGCGAGAGGCTCACTGTATGCATTTGCATAGGAGCCTGCCAAATATTTTGGTGTTGCGCCATGTTTAAAAGCATGTTTAAGCAAATTTAAAGAAATGAAAAGTAAGTAACTTACATTAAATTAGTTACATTTGTAAATGAAGAATGCTTTGATTCGTTTAAATAAATGCATATATGGTATATAAATTCAAAAGTAAGTTTCTAAAAGTGCTTATCAAAACCATTTTTTGTTCTGCACTTTCAATGTGTTTCTTAAGATCCCAGGCGGTTTCCCGCAAATTTTTTGCAATCGCCACAAGGCGAAGTTCTTGAGGTTTGGGGCTAATTGTTTGCACATTCTGAAAGTTGTGCTTTGAATCAATTGATTTTCCCGCTCAGTGCCTTTTCTTTGCCTGTTTTCGTTTGATTAAAGTTCGGAAAATGAAAGGCTCGGACACTGGTGGTCATGTTTTCTGCCATTTCAGCTGTAAGTGAAGCGAAGGTTCATTGCAATTGCACAACCACGAGGGCGAGGCGTTTTGTTCAGGTCAAAGCTTTCATTGGTCCTATGCAAATGTCACAAACAGACATAGGTAAATGCGGGCTCTGCACTTGTGTTCTGCGGCTAACGAACTAAACAAAGGACTCACGCACAATCACAAGGGGGCCACCTCGTCGAAAATGTTAACTTAGCCAACTTTAAGTCATGAAATTCAGAGTCCTGATGATCCATATTGCTTTCGTCTAAAGGCAGTATTATGTGGCACTATAAAATATAGTTAAATATTTCTTATAACAATCAGATATCCTTCAAGTTCCTGTTCTGAACAACAGAGTTTAAGGTGGCCCTAGAAAGTAGGCTACATTTTGTGAATTTATACTGGCTTGATGGAGCAGGATAGCATTTGGAGGTGTTTTGCTTGCCAGAAAAAAAGGACACCCTAGTGGAATACTATCATGTATATCCATTAATGGCACTTAGTTGGTTATTTTGCAAATGTGACAAGCGGCATGTGGCATAAAAATGCCATTGGTACACAAATAAAGGACAACATCTAAACAAGGCATTGACTTTGCACGTGAAATCTTTATTACTATCAAGATAACGATACAATTTTTTGCGAAATATATTGGTTCTTACTGGTTTCCAATATAGGAATACCAATATCGAGTTATTCGGTTAAATAACATTCAAAAAATAATAAATATTTCTTGTTAATAAAACATTAAAGGAATTTAAGTTTCTATGCTGGATATTGAAAATGTTCTGTTGCAAACCCATCCTTTGTAATTTCCTCTCTTTCTCTCTCCCCATTTTATACATTGCTTTGTTTGGTTTTAACTGTTCTTTTTTGGGCTCCTTGTGCTGTTAAATTTTTTATTGCCCAGGAAATATTTACGTGCAGAAGGTAAATAGAGAAGGAAAATTAAGAGAAAAAGGACGAGAAAGCTTCTCTTTGTTTTGTTTGATTTATGCGTAAACTTTTTTTTTGCCGTTTTTATGTATGTATGTATGTTTTGTGTAGTGTGCCACCTTTACGCAAACCAAAAAGGAAGGCACACACACACACATACAACAACACTTGCCATTCATTGGCATGCAAAAATAACTCATACGCAGCGTATGACAACTTTGCAAAATGCCAGAAACTGCAGAATGAGAATTTTGTAGCCTGGAAAAAATTGTTTTTATGTTTTGTGCTTCCCTCGCCATAATTGATTGCATAAGGGCGTTCTCATTCATTTACAGGGACTGCGGTTACGCGGCTACTGCCTTCATCCGCCCAACACCCTCAGCTCCTCTTCAAAGCATTTTAAATTAAACAATAAAATGCCCGCCAAAAGCATTTTGTGGTTTCTGTTTTTCGCTTAGAACAAGTGCTTTAATGACACAGATTGGTAGAAGAGGCGGGAGGAATGACACAAAATTGGACAGAACAACTTGGCCAGGAAAAATGATTCTCTTTTCATAACATATTATCGATATGTTCGGGATACAGAAGTTTCTCTTTTCTTCTTTCTTCTTAAGCTGTTGATATATAACTATGAATACTGGATAGACATAAGAAAGCTGGCGGTGGAAAAATGAAGGAAAGTGGAAAATTAGAGAATAAGACTGGGAGTTGAAAGTTGTTCCTTCATTTATTTTATGTCAAAAACTTTGCGCGCAACTCAAAGCAGCAGAACATCTCTGTTCTGTTGAGATGAATGAAATAATGCACTGATAAAAACTTACCCAAAATAATATACTGACGCTTAAAGAGAGAGATTTCAAAATGCTTTCCTTTCATTTGGTTTTTTTAAGTTGTCCGAGATTAAAAAAAAAAATTAAATTGTCTCAGTGAATCAACCGTATTTACACATCACTTTGCCTTGAAAGGACACAAAGGACGATAAACCAGCGAAGTCCCTGATGTCAGAGGATGCTTGGGGATCATCGCCTCATATGCAAATGCCGCAATCTAATTTTTCTAATTTCTAGTTTCCCCGTTAAACTGTCTTAATAGATTAATATTAAATGTTTATTTAACTTTTGTACGTGTGAAACTTACATAATCTACCTAGAAGGAAGGATCAGCCAGTTAACGAATTTATATTTAAATGTGAAAATTCTACCTTTGTGCTGTCAGATGTCCCTGGCCACCTGGGGTGTCCTTGTTCTCGCCTTGGCACTTCCTTTTTGGGCATTTTCATTGCGGTTTGCACCCGCATGTGGCTTCGTCCTGGTCCTCTCATGCTAGCCACATCCTTCCTGGCATCTGTGCATCGTAGAAGTTGAAAAAAAAAATATATGTGCTAAAAAATTGCCCACACACACACACAGAAATACCATCGAAATGCAATTTTAAATTTGCGGAGGAGTGGAGAGAAATAAATGCCTTCAAAGAGGACACCCCGGCTGTCCTTTCCTGGCCACAGCGATAATCCGATTTCCCCGTTTTTCCTCTCCAGCCATTAAGCGCCTTGGCCGCTCTGGCTTTTTTCAACCGTTCTGGTGGAATTATTTAAATGTTATTAAAGCCCCACTTCTAAATGTGGTTTAATTTCAAGACTGATTGTATTTGCCTTGAAGAATTTAAATGTCCGTACTTGAAAACAATTTTTTGACTCTTGATGGTGATACGAAAAGTTGAATTTCAATACATGTTTCGATTTTTCTGGAAGTGTTGACTGTTGAATGTGTGCTAATATAACGGATTCGTAGACTGATTATACTGTTCAGCATGTTGCCCTGCAGGGATTTCGAACTGGGATCGATACGGATCAGGATTTCAGTGCACTGCAAAAAAAGTAAATATGTATTTCACTCCTCCCAATGGGTCGCCATATTGTTAATGGAATGGCGTAATACATAATGCAATAATGAAACGATTCCCTTTTCTGTGTGGCGCTGTCACGTTGTCTCGTTGGCGGCCAATTTTGCGGACGTGTCCGCTATGCAAATAGCTTTCAATCCCTAATTGCTTAGTTAACATATGTACCCTGCTCTGGCCCGTATTTTGCAGCCTCCGTTCGATTTGGAAATCGGCATTTGCATATCCCGTGAAACGAAAGCGGTTGCGGGCGGAAATCAGAGGGCTCTGCACAAGGAGCAGGAGGATTATTTGCCGTAGAACCGCAGACGCGGGAGGAAGGCCGCCACGTTGGAAGGAAAACGGCTTTTCACGGCAGTTAATAAATTTTTAACTGGTTCAACAATTGCCCGCGAGTTCCGCCAGCTTATGGTGAGTAGCTGTTCAAGTATTTCTAATTTGAATAAAATTTAAATTAAAGAATGGCTAGCAGCCACTTTATATTAAAATGTTGTTAAAATTTTGTTGCTTAGAATGATTAACTAATATAATATAATGAGTCATTTTTGTTGAAAGCATTCAAATGTGGTTGTTTTTTAAGCATAATATTTGGGCTTTCTTGATTTTATGTTTATGTTTTATGTTTCTTTCTTGTAGACGAGGAACACGGCGGTGAGTGGCGATGAACCCGACGAGGAGCAGACGCCAGTCGCTGGCACCGAAGGGGAGGATCAAGAGAATCTGGATCCACATCAGGACGAGGCAGGCCAGGATGTGCCAGGACAGCCCGGTGAAGATGGTCACAAGCTGAGCGGCGAGCAGCAGCCGTCGTCACATCAACGCCGTCAAAGGTCTCGAAAAAAACCAACGACGCCGCAGGAGAAGCAACCACAACGAACTGCTGCCATTCCCCATCCGGAGCAAGCGGATGCGGACACGGACTCCAGCTCCTGCGAGGGCATCAAAGTGGGTCAGCGGAGGAGCACGCGGGTCAGCTACGCTCAAAAGAACCCCGACGAGCAGGAGCTGGATGACTACGACGAAGAGGGCGAGTACGGCGAGGGGGACGAGGATGACGGAGAGGAGGAGGAGGAGGAGTCATACGATGACTATGAACAGTCCTCGAGGCCAAGTGGACGTCCTGGACCTCCTTCACGCACAGCCCTGAGTGTCCGCAGCAGACGCAAGACAAAAACCCGTCAGACTTCCTACGCCTCTCCGGAATCGGACTTCGGCATGGGCGAGGAGCAGCACTTGGTCGACGACAAGCGCCGCTGCATCTCCAAGGGCCAGATGAGGGAGTTTCGCGAGGCGTTCCGGCTGTTCGACAAGGACGGCGATGGGTGCATCACCAAAGAGGAGCTGGGCACTGTGATGCGATCGCTGGGCCAGTTCGCCAGGGTGGAGGAGCTGCAGGAGATGCTGCAGGAGATCGATGTGGATGGTGAGTATTCGAAAACCTAGAAGCCTTCGCAGCCGTCCCAGGTTCTCCTTATGCCATTAAAGATAAGAGGGCTTTGTTATTGCTTTACGTTGTATTAATATCCACTAAGGCGATGGCAATGTCAGCTTCGAGGAGTTCGTCGACATCCTGTCGAACATGACGTACGAGGACAAGTCGGGTCTGTCGTCGGCCGATCAGGAGGAACGCGAACTGCGCGACGCCTTTCGGGTGTTCGACAAGCACAATCGGGGATATATCACAGCTTCCGATTTGCGGGCGGTCCTACAGTGCCTGGGCGAAGATCTCGACGAGGAGGACAGTAAGTTTCTACTACTCTACTAGTCGCCAAGTAGTCGGTCCCTAACTCTGTGTATCACACACCCAGTTGAAGATATGATCAAGGAGGTGGACGTGGATGGCGATGGACGCATCGATTTTTACGAGTTTGTCCACGCTTTGGGCGAACCGGAGGACTCCCAAGAGAACGACGACGAGGAGGAAAACACCACATCGCCGCTGCCTACACCCAAGTCGACCATTTCTCTCAGTTACGAATAATTGATAACGGATTCGCAGCTAATTTTCCCATCTTGTCCACAATAATCGCTTGACAAGTTAAAGTAAAACAATAAATTTAACTGATACCCGAGACGGACTGTCGACCTGCAATAATGTAAGTTCGGAGGATATCGTATATTACCTATTGACTTATCGAAAGGTTAAACAATTAAAATAGTTTTTCGACTACTAAGCCAACGTTAATCGATAACACATCGATTAAAAAGCATTAGCCAAATGAATTAAATAAAGCTCATCAAATTTATTAAATAAATCAACGCACAGCTAATCAAATTAAAATGATTATACAAATATATACAACGTAATGAATAATCAAGAATATCCAAAAACATAACCGACAAACGCTTTACTTTACATAGATACATATATATTAACTTAACACTAGCTCACATTTTGAAATCGCTATCTACCTTTCCACTTTAATCGAAATGGAATTAAAACTACATAGCCTTTAAGCAAGTAAGATAACCTACCATTACTACTATGTCCCTAGGTTTTGTCAACTGAACAGCACAAATACATTGTACTTCAAGACATATCATTAAAGAAGGCGTTTTGTAAACCCCAATCAACATATCCTTATAAATATTTACCGACTACATTCTTTAGCTGCCCCACACCCTTATTACCTCATCCCACTTCTCCGATTTTTGACTAGCATCATCTAATATGAACAAATTTAATTTATTAATAATTTAGGAAATATTTGCTCAATTATTGCTGCTGCCACAAAGCAACAAAGGATAACAACACTAAAGCTCGCAAATATACAAATTATTTAATTATTGAACGAATGTAATTTACAATAAAAAATTTTAATCATAAATTTGAATCAAAATCCCTTTAAACGAATTATAAATAAATGATCTGAAAAGGAATAAACGAATTTTCAATAACGGCGAGGGGAAGGGCAATACCGCAATGAGTCTAAAGTCCTAGAATTGTTGTATGATGTTGGCCACCCAAGGGGTTTCGCCTCGTTTCAACAACTTCGTGCCACAATATGGGGCGTATTGTTGCGCTGGGCAACCAATTCTTGAGGGTTTTTTCGTTTAAAAAATATTTGCTTCCATGTAGGACGACACTTCTGTTGACAAGCCCGTAAAAGGGCACAAGTATACTAAGGTATATATAAGTATACAAGTATGGGAAAATGACGGAGAACCAACTGGGCAGATTGCGGTCCAGCTGCGGTTCTCAGGATGCCCTACTTGATGTGATGTGGGGTCCCATCCCCATTCCTCGAGTGTCAGCTTCGTGAGGAGATGCACGCACAAAAATTGGGAATATATTTTACTAGATTATTTTACTAGAATATACTAAGTTTGTGTGATTTGATATGAAAATATAGTGTACCTCCTTTAAATCATGTTTATTTTAATATTTACACTTTAAAATTATTGCCTTTATTTAATGCTTTCAAATCTAATGGAACTCCCAAATAATGATTTTCAGACTTCATTTGGATATATCGATTTTAATATATTTTTTCGGAGAAGATTAACAAAAAGTTGTTTTTTCTAGTGTATTTGTGAAAGCTACGTAGACAAAAGTTACGTTAATGGTCAAGTGCTTAAGTGCTTGGCCAGCAAAATTATGATGGCATCCCAGAGGACATGTCCCCTCAGATCCACGCACTCACACATGTTTAGATACTCATCCTGGAGTTGCGTTCACTGAGCGTATACTTAATGTTTTTGTTAGCGCTTTGTCATGGCTTTAAACGAACTCGATTGGCCCATGATGAGTGGCTCCGGATTGCAGAGGGGTGAAGGGGGACAGGACGGAATCCCATGCTAATGCCACGGACATTACCCCCTGCTGTCTGCCTTAAAATAGATTAAAGTGGACATAATTCCAGTCGGGCTCAATGATATCGCAATTGACAACGACTAAATCGATGTTTCAAGTGGCTTTTAGTCCTTACTTTTTCATTTTTCATTTTCCGGTTTTCACCGCGCACACCCGCCACTTACCTGGCTTCCAGTTGGCCGTCCATTTCGGTATCCTGTAAAAAAAAAGGATTACAAATGGTCAGTTAATTCTCAGTCACAGGATAGTTCTAAAGAGCATAGAAGTTGGTATTGAATGGAGCTGTGACAGACTATTTGCAGGATTTGGTGACGTTCCCTCCCTCTATTCAGCAAATAAAAGCGAATTGATGTTGACTGATTAGCATGGGGTAATAATGGCTTCAGGAGGCGGTGCAAACTGGCAACTGAAGCAATTAACAGCTGGCGGAAAAATTCCCCCGATACCTTTTTCAATCCCTCGCAGATTGTGGTGGAAATCGTTGCCATTCATTAAGAGCAGACTTAGAGTGCTTTGGCGGTCATAATTTCCAATTAATTTTAATGAGGCTCGTCCATTGATGATTGATGGTATGAAAAATATATATACACATATAGAAATAAATAATTAACTCAAGAACGCCATTTATCCCTGGAGGGGATCGTCGAGCTCCCGCTTCTTCACGTGGTTCCTCTTGCGCTGTTCCAAAGCCAGTTCCTGCTGCCTCTTGATGTGCTTTTTGCGCAACAAGGCCTCCAGCTGGACGCAGAACTCCGACTTGGCAATGCCCGTGTCCAGGTAGACCTCCTCCCGGGCCTCCCTGCCACGCTGGCCGCGAAAGGGAGCCCTGATCTCCACGGAGGTGCCCGACGGCGAGCGGCGTTTTCCGCGAATGTAACTGTACCCGGGCAGCCAGCGGCGGAGCAGGCGGTCTAGGCGGGCCAGCAATCCCAGCTTGGGTGGCTCACCATAGCTTTCCTGACCTCTGGAGAACTGGCTGACCTTTCGCTCCATGCTCGAATGTCTTTTTTTGTTGGGTTTCTGCTTTTAAAAGTTTTGGTTTGGGAAACACCGTTCAGTCAATGTGCCGATCGATCGATTGCCTGCTCGGTTTCTCCCTTTAAACTGGTTCAAAACCTTTTCTACTCTGGCAAAGGGAATCATCATTTCAGTTGGGTGTTTTCAATGCAGTCACCCCCCTATTTTTCCATCAAATTGCCACGAGATTAGGAAGCTCGTTGTGTGTGGCACCTTATAATGCGACCACTTGCAGTTTCCACAAACATTCGTAGAGATTCGTTCGAAAAGCATTAATGGTCAAAAATATAGAAACTTAATAGAAAAATCCACTGCAAGGGTATTTAAGCTTCGGTTTGCCTAAGCCAGCTTCCTTTCTTCCCTTCACATTGTAATATTCAGCAATATTATTGTGTTGTGCATCCGGTAAGGTGTTGGACTCCTTTGCATCAGATTAATTGGTTTAATGTTTGTCAACAGACAATCGATAAATATCGCATCTATTTGAAATATCGCAGTTGGTAAGGGCCCTAATAAATGTCAAACGACTTGTGACTTGCAAGACTCGCCTTCCTTTCTGTGAAATCAGCTGCGCCTGCGTACTCTTATTTGTTCTTATTCTCTTTTTAAAAGAAGGAATAGTTTTGAAATGACCTACCAACATTATCGGTCAACAACCTTGGGCAATACGCTTCAGGAGACTCTGGATGAGATGCTCCAGGTAAGAAGTTTCCAGGGCAGCCATTGCTTTTTTTTTTCTGGCTTTAAACTTGCGTTTATTGCAGAGCGGCCAGATAACCCCCAATTTGACCGAATTGGTTTTGGCCCAATATGACAAGAGCATCAACGAGGCTTTGAAGACCAAGGTCAAGGCTAAGGTCAACTTCTCGGCCGGAAAATTCGTTACCTATAGACTCTGCGACAACGTGTGGCGCTTGGACCTCCAGAATGTGGAGTTTCGCGAGGGTCAGGAGGTCGTCTTGAAAGTAGATGCGGTTAAAGTTGTGGCCTGCATGGGCACCAGGGATTAAAGGGTATTAAATCTGTTTCTTGCCTTTCACTTCTTTGGTCTTAACTGAGAGCCGAGGAGGCACTTATAATTGAAAAAGTTTTTATGCCGCAAACCGCCTTCACACTTAATATTCCGCCGCTTTTGGCTTTTTGGTGGCGGCGGCCGAGCCGCGACCGTAAAGGTGGTTTGCCATTACCAAGTTCATGAGATATGAGATCTTGATGAACTCTTGCCAGATTGCCAGATTGCCAGTTTAAGCCCAGCCACCTAGCCACCCAGCCACCTGGTCTTCTCTGCGTGGGCGTATTGCTTCCGCATCCGCTTCCGGGCCCAAGGAACAAAAATGAAGGCCGGGCGGCAGGAAAGTATTATCCTCGCTCGGGATCTGGCTGAGGTTTTCGGATTTTCAGACTGGCACGAAACCGAGGCCTTCCCCGTACTGGAAGTTCAGTTCGCTTACCAAGGTCGAATCCGGTTTCGCATTTAAGGAGGAGACCACCGCTAAGATTTGGTAGCATGTGCTCTCTCACTGGCAAACAATTAGTGCAGCAGGAAAAACCAATATAAATCGTTCGGCGTTGAGGCATACCATTCATTCATTGTTAGAGTTTAAGCGTGGGGTGTAATTTATTATAATAGAGTGTTTGATTTTATCATTAGCTGCATACATATGCCTCTGTATGCAGAACAAACTTGCAAATGTCACTACAGGAGCACATTTTCAAACTTAAGAGCCACTTTAAGTGAGACATATTTAAAATGTGAAAAAAAGATATGTAGAAAGGACTCCACACTACATTGTTTTCTATGTTTGAACATCAACTTAATGCTAGAGGCATTTTAAAAAGTGTTTTCTAAAAAGCTTAGCTTAGCTTTAATATTAATATTATAAAAGCTTTTTAGGGCGATATTGTTGCTGGTGTGTTATGACACTAGCTAATTTTATAAAAGTAATTAATTTCTTTTTGCTGTAGTACACTTTTTTAGTAGTTTTGTGCATAAGTAAGCTCATTATCTTGTGTTTATTATCAAGGCTCTGAACCCGATTTTTTTAAAGGGGAATTTATCTATATCCTTAGATCAGTATTAATATTAATGGGAAAGTATGAGAGATTAGATGGTGTATAACAGTACTTTGCCCAGTATTTGCAAATACTAGAAGTAAACTAAATTTATAGAGGAAATTTAGATCTAATGTTTCAATGGAAATCGTTGTTATAACTGCTATAAAATATAAGTTATACCACCATAAACGCCATCAAGGAAAAATAAAAGAAAACAATGGGAAAAAAGAAGCTTTGCAGTGAGGTAGAATTTCCCGTTATTTTAGCATCTTTGACTACGTCCTAAATAAGGGGGTTGTAGTCTTGGGACGCACTCACACTCAAAGTGAGTGAAAAAGCTGGGAAAGTCTCTGAGCCTTAACTCACTCTAGATGTTGAGTAAATTCTCAGGTTCAAATGCTAGAACTCACTCAAAGAATGTCGGTTACTTGGCTATGCCGGTAGGCATTGTTTTCATTTCACTTAAAGAGGGGGAAAACGCAGCTGGGCAGCTGGTGGCAGTCTAAATACAACCAACAGCCCAAGGACTTGGCAGCACTCTCGACTTGGACATGGATGGATAGTCTTTCCGAGGGTCCTGCGATCGAATGCGGCCTGTGTGGCCCACATTTTGCAGAGTCCATTCGAAAAACGACTAGAGGGGCAGAATGTACACTCGTATTTCCGACAAGGTTAGCTGAAAAAGTTTGCCGGCATCCGGCCAATTTGAAGACCGCAACTCGCGAAAAAATAAGTTGACAGCCAGAAAGTCCCCGGAGTCGACCACAGACCAGACGATAGACTATATAGAACCGAAAGCACACCCAAAACCAAGTGCAAGACCAAGTCGAAGCTGGAAAAGCCAATTAATTTAACAGCGGCTTTCGTGAACGAGCGTCGGAGAAGCGCACTCAAGTGGAACAGGGTTCCCACCGAGGACCTGTCTCGTATTCCGCACCTTCCAGTGTGGGGACATTGAACTTAGAGGAGACCCTAGGCCAGGGACCATAGGCCAGAGGCCAGTACTCACAGAGTCCATGAGTCGTAGGCGCAGTCCCACGTTCACTTGGCCAAGTCCATCTGTCTCCGGAACGCCGCCGAAAGTTCCCCCGGGAATGATTTGCAGGGGGAGAAAAAATTGGACAAAAATAACTAACTTTGCTTTCAAGCAATCTTTACTTAAAAAGTTGTAATAAAAAAGTGCATGCAAGCTTATTATGAATAATTATAGAATATTATGAATAACTGTAGAATATCGCATTATCGCGTAAGGATAATGTACAAATATTTCTATCAAAGGGGTTTTCGGACTCAAAATAGTAAAAGTGATTGCATCGCTGAACAAATTATCGTCTACGCTCGTGAACGCATAATAAAAGCAACTAATTTTATCCCAATTATAAATATAGCTACCAATAAATAGTTGACATAGCAATTTGCTGATTTTGCACGAAACAATTAAATTTGCAAATTTTTTGCGGCAAGCAACCTATAATTAAATCAGTGAAGGCCGATGGATTTCCACGAATGGATGGCGGCTTTTTGTAAAGAGCGAATGCAACGCTGCCGAAAAGTTTGAGTGTAGTTTGGTGACAGGACGGGTGGAACCAGAGGTCCCCGAAGATTTTGCTGGCACCGCAGGAACGTGAACTTTGTGTCGTGCCGCCTCATTTGCACTACAAAGCAGTAAGATGACTAAATTAATGAGATTTCCTAGTTGGCAAAGTTTGCTCTGGCTCGGGGTCACCGTTTTTGGGTCACTTTTTGAGACGATCTTAGCTGCTGCAAATTGCCAGGCACTTAGACTATTTACTCTGTGGTGGTCGGTCGGGAAATCAGTGCAAAGCTCTGGGCTCCTTAATGGCTTGTATATTTTTTACGCTTCTGGTGATAATTTCTAAGGGTTCAAAGTTTGATAGAAGATCATTGCCACTGTTCTTTGGGAACACATTGGCGTGTGCCGAATAAAGAACTGTAGCAAGCAGCCCTATGTACATATACCTATTACACTGTGCGACAAAATTTAACGAAATGTTTGTTTGAGTTACTTTTTTGATTGTTTTCGGTTAAGGGGCATAAGTTATGCACAAAAATATTTATGCCACCTTCTAAGTGATAGGATTTCTTTTTTTATGATAAATTTAATGAAATTATTATTATGAAAATATTTAACACAAAATATTATTATTTTTTTTACTTCCAATAAACTATTATTTTTTTTAAAAGTGAAATTTTTTTCTGATTTTTTTTGGCTTTTTCAGAGGTATCCTCGCGTAACAAGTTCCATACGTAGTCGCCCAGAGTATAGAGCTGGGAGAAAAAAATTTTAAAGCATTGTTATAAAAGCCTAACGGTATATTTGCTTAATATATTTTAATTAATAGATATTGAACTTGCATAAAACGCTTATAACGGTGAAAAAATATTTTCCCAATATGGTATTATAAGGCTGTGAAATATGCAAAAACACGCGTTTTTGGGACCTTTGAGTGTGCGTAGAAGCTGATTGGCTATTGATATTAACAAATCCAAAAACTTGTATTCTTATTTTGACTAGTAGAAGTGAAAAATAAGAAAAAATCAACTCAAACATTTTTTGTCGCACAGTGTTATTAAGCACTGCTTGTAAGCAGTTAACGTTATTGTGTATCCCTTAAGTTAAGTCATCCTTTATGTCCCCCTTACTCCTTTAAGAAACACCATGTAAACCCATCTCTAAGTATGTACGTCTCTCTCTTGCACATACGAGATTGTGAAATAGGCTAAGCATTAACAGAGATGATGAAATAAAGATCACTTTTGCTGCGACCACTGAAGAGAAAAGACCCTGATTGTATCACTACAATTAGAATGAACAGTAAAGTATTCAAGAAGATCTGAGGGAATTCGGGTATACAATAATTTTGAGTAGCCAATCCTAACTGCTGCAGTTTTTAAAAGTGTTCGGGTGGTCCCGCAGTAGCAACGGTCATCAAATACAATCTAATAAGCGAACCGCAGCCCGCGGCGCCGCAACTTGAAAAACTTTGCAGTTTATCACTTGCCGGGCGCTAAACTGCAAGACCCGGGGCAAAACTTTTGCTCCGACATCATAAACCAGCCAGTTGGCTTTCCGTTCCGCCGGCTGGACCCGATTTCACCCCCCTCTCGCATCCTTTTCAGCCCGAAGATGCGTTTGCCCCATTTCGACTTATCATTGGAGCAAAGTTGTGCACTCAAAACATACTCCTTTCGGGTCGGTGAGCTGACCCGATTTTATGGCTCTTATGACTATCAAAAATATTGTCGTATTGCTTTCGCCGCCAGCAGATAAATCACGTAGAGCTGTCCCCAGCAATCCACAAGCCATTGTGTCTTAAATTCGGTCTGCGAATGCAGAAGAGGGGGGAAAAGTTCAGGTGGTATCTCCAAAAAGGGTGCAACAAAAGTGGTTGCTGTTGTTAAAAGGGCCACTGGTGAAGTGGTTGCCGGATTAAAGGCAACGCGGAGCGCTTGAGCTGCTGGCCATGGTGGAAGTTTAACCATTTATTAATAAAGCGTCACAAAAAATGGTAATTGCAATTTTGCATAACTTTGGCTGCTCATTTTGGAGCGGGATTTCTTCTGGCTTGGAAGGGTAATAAAAACGTCAACCGCGCGTATCCCCGCACCCGTCGCGATGCGTTGGCAAAACACACATAAAAACATCAAGCTCACAAAAAGCGAATGGACAAGGGCGTGCGATCGAACCGTACAACAAACAGCCATTTCAATTATTTATTGGAATTTTTACAGGGAAAACAGAACAGAAAGCAGAGCCAAAAGGCAGAATGGCCGAAAGCCCCCTGCCGAAAAAGGGGAGCAAACAGGGACGGAGCTTGTGGAAAACGATGGGGGTGAATCGGAGGAAAACAAACAGCATTCAGGACTCACACTAACGGGCACGGGTCTACGAAGTTAAATATATGTAAGCAGCAATAAAGAGCAACACGGCTGGCAGAAGGAC